CGTATCGGTGTAGGTGTCTTTTCGCTGCACGGCCACGACACGTTCACGGTAGGAAAAGGCGCGCGCGGATGTATGGATGTGCCTGTCGCGCGGACGCAATGGGTGCGTGGTTCCGGCAGAACCGTCTAATTAGCCGCAAGCGACCGAGCCTACATTCGGGAGTGGATACGGAAGGAGTATATTCTTGGGGGGTGCAAGGAAAACGCGGCAGCGCGAGACGCTGCCGCGCAGTAGAATTAGACTTAGTGGTGGAACAAACGGATTGGGTTCTCCACGTACACCATGTCGTTCGAGTCGGCGGCCGCGAACACGGCCTTGTCCATGACAGATCCGGAAGGCGCAGCCACGTACTTGACGCCGGACTTGGCGGCTCTGTAGACATTGTCTGGGAATGGGAAGAACGCATCCGAGGACAAGGCGACCTCAGACATCTTGTTCAACCACTCGGTTCTCTCTTCCTCGGTCAAAGGCTCAGGAAGCTCGGAGAACTTGCTCTCGTACTCGGTCTTCTCAGGCTCGGACTTAGGAATCTGGCCCGACACGTACAAGTCGATGGCGTTGGACTTCTCAGGTCTCTTGACGCCCTTGGCCCACTTGAAGCCCAACACTCTAGGGTGCTGTCTCAACCACCAGTTGTCGGCCTTGTCGCCAGCCAATCTGGTGCAGTGGATTCTGGACTGCTGGCCAGCGCCTAAGCCGATGACCATACCGTTCTTGGCGTAGCACACGGAGTTGGACTGCGTGTACTTCAAGGCGATGGTGGCAACGGTCAAGTCAACGATACTTTGCTCGGTCAAGGACTTGTTCTTGGACACGATTTCCTTGAACGAGGAGCCCTTGATGATGGCGTCGTTTCTCTTCTGCTGCAAGGTGATGCCGTAGACCTGTCTGGACTCGAGGTTGTCGGGGGTGAAGTTGGGGTCGATCTTCAAGATGCAGTACTTGCCGCCCTTCTTCTTCTTCAAGATCTCCAAGGCCTCCTTGGAGTAGCCAGGGGCAATGACACCGTCGGAAACCTCCTTGGAGATAATCTGTGCGGTTGGGAGATCGACAATGTTGGACAAAGCGATCCAGTCACCGAAGGAGGACATTCTGTCAGCGCCTCTGGCTCTGGCGTACGCGTTGGCCAATGGCGACAAGTTCTCAATGTCCTCGACGAAGTAGATCTTCTTCTCGACGTCCGACAAGGGCAAGCCAACGGCGACACCGGCAGGCGAGACGTGCTTGAAGGAAGCAGCCGCAGGCAAGTTCAACGAGGCGGACAACTCCTTGACCAACGGCCACGAGTTCAAGGCGTCCAACAAGTTGATGTAGCCCGGGGAGCCGCCCAAAACCTTGAAGGGCAACTCGCCTTGGGACACGTAGGCCTGGGCTGGCTTCTGGTGGGGGTTGGCGCCGTATCTCAAAGGCATCTGGGAGATGTTCTCGGCGTACTGCTTTCTGAAGAAGTCGGAAATGGCAACGTCGTAGTCGGCGGTATGCTCGAAGGCCTTCAAGGCCAATCTGTTTCTGGTGTCCTTGGAGATCTCGCCGGCCTTCAACTCCTGCAAGAACACCGAGTAGTCTTGTGGGTCGGACAAGATGGTGACTCTGGCGTGGTTCTTGGCCGCGGCTCTCAACAAAGTCACGCCGCCAATGTCGACCTCCTCGACCGCCTCCTCAATGGTCACGGCGGCCTTGGACACGGTCTCCTTGAAGGGGTACAAGTTGCACACCACGAAGTCAACCTTGTCGATGCCCTGCGCGGACAAGTCGGCCTCGTCGGTCTCGATGTTTCTGGCCAAGATACCGCCGTGCACCGCGGGGTGCAAGGTCTTGACTCTGCCGCCCAACATCTCAGGGGCGTGGGTGATCAGCGACACATCCTCAACGGGAAACCCGGCTTCCCTGACCATCTTGGCGGTACCGCCGGAGGCCAAGATTCTGACGTTGGCGTTGGCCAAGCCCTTGGCCAAGTCGAGCAAGCCCGTCTTGTTGTACACGGACAAAATAGCGGTTTTTGTGTGGGGCATGATGGATGTAGATATTCTGGTGTTGTCTGGACTAGATAAGGCGCAGCAGGTGGTGCAAACGGTGGTTCTCTTCTCCGGTACGGGGGCGGGGGACAAAAGCTAGCGGGCAGCGATTGGAGGGATGCAAAAGACAACTGGTGGTGAAGATGAGTTCACGGGTTCAGGAGGAAGATAGTCACTGGCAGGCGCACGCAATCTGAGAGGGATCTGGGGTCTTAAACGTTGCGGAATTTTCTGGGTGAATTTTCCACAGATTGAAATTAGAGGCACGGGTGTGCACTCCTAATTCGCGGGAGTCAGAAAGCCCGCTCCGCGCAAACGGTGACTCGGGTACCAGGCCGGCGGACCAGTGGAGGGCGGCTTGTCGGATTTTGGTGGGGCTGCCGTCAAAACGGGGGATGCCGGTGGCGGCGCAAGTGTGACAAAAAAAGCAACTCGACCGGTGTCGCTCGTATTTTTGGGGTTTCGTGGCACATCTGGTGGGGGGCTCCAGGCATAATATCACCAAGCCTGTGCCGGACCTTGGATCTGGGTCGAGCCACTCAGTCCTCACCGGGCGAAAAATTAGGCCGCCGCACTGCACACAGCGGGGCTCGACCACCCCAGCAGACTGGGAATGACTCTTCTCGGCAGAAAATTAAAGGGCCCGATTCGATGCGTTCAGAATCCGCGTGAAATCGGCCCGTCGTCGATTCATGCCCCGGGCCCGTGTCTTGGGTACTACAAAGTTATGAGCGTGGGGGCAATGGGTGCTAGGACCGGTCGCACAGGCGAGCCTAGGCAACACACCTGAGGCTTCGGCGGATGCACATGTGTTCTACAGCCAACGTGGTAAAGCGTCATTTATTAAGCCTACTACTTCAAAATCACCAGAAAAGCCTAAGAAACAAAAACATCCAGCTAAGCACGGCTGCGCGCTTACTTTCTGTATCTCCACAAGGACAAGGTGTTGTGCTTCTTCCAAGTGTGGCGACGGCCGGCCTTGGTGTTGTTGTACAAGTGACCCTTGTTGATACCTCTGGATTGCTTACCGGCAGAAGTAAGACCTCTGGCCTCTCTACGCTTGTGCACTGGGTTGACGATCCAGTTGTATCTGGCGTCTCTTCTGATGGCGTTGTGCGATGGGTCGACCAAGATGACCTCAAAGTACTTGTAGGTGGAGTCGGAGTTGACCCAGTAAGAGTTCAACACTCTCAAGTTGGCAGCTCTTCTGCCAACTCTCTCCTCGGCAGTGACTCTCAAGGACTTTTGGTACTTCAATTGAGTAACACCCTGGTTGGTTGGCTTACCGTAAGTGGCACCCTTTGGCACAGGTCTCTTTCTGCCACCTCTTCTGACTCTAATTCTGAAGATGACGAAACCTTGCTTGGCCTTGTAACCCAATCTTCTGGCCTTGTCTGGTCTGGAAGGTCTAGAAGCTCTGTGGATGACGTTTCTCTGTCTGTACTCCCAACATCTAACTCTCAACAAGAATCTGGAGACATCAGATTGCTTCTTTCTTTGCAACTCTTCCAAGTATTTGTAGGCACCCATTTTGTTTGTGTGTTACTGAGGAGTAGAAGGAAGTGAAAGTTTTGCGCCGTTTTTTTTTCCAGGATGCCCTCGCGCACGTTCTATGTGCAGTATCATCTTCGGGTCGTGCTTAGGGCATCAGCCCTGGGACCAGATGCGCGCACGTGATACGTGTACATTTCCGACCTTGCTGCTGATGTCGGGGTCCGTGGACGCCAGGAGAATGAAATCTTAAATTCAGTCTGGAATCTGCTTGGAATATGCGGCACCTCGTGCCTTCGAGATGGATTCTGTGGCTGGACTCAATATCATACTCGTGTCAGAAGTCTGCAGCAAAGCACACCGCGCTTTCGCAGCCATGAATCTTGCATTTCTCCGTAGGAACTCTATAATTAATACGACCATCCAATTCACTTCTGCGGCTGAATCAAATATTGGTCGACTAAGACTTACGCTTCATAAACAGCTGTCTGACATCAGGGCTCACACATGGCAGGGCTTGATATGGCCTGCTGAAGTAGTCTTGTAACAATCCCACCAAACATGCTGTTTCTGCTCGACTCACCGCAAATACCCATCGAGACAGACCAAGTACACACAGTTCGCAACATGGCTTTATCTCTTTTGAAACGAAAACCATAAATACTATTTGACTCACGCTTATTTGTCTGGTCCAATCACAGGATGTACAATTTTTTTCACTACTCTCACTTGATTGTTTAAGTCGGTAGACGGGACTTGATGTTACAAAACTCATGTTTGTAGGGCGTCTGTATAGTGTCTTCCAGCAAAGCATATGTTTGGGAAGTCTCATTACCACCGCCTTCAGCTGAAGCCTTCTAAAAGTCTATGCATGAAATTAAACGCTAAAAAATTAACTTAGCAGTTCTTTTTAAGCACGAGAACGGGCGACGACTCGAGGTGTCAAAAATATAGCAAATGTGCCTCCAAGGTGGTGTATATCATGCGTGTCTTCAACCAGAAAATAATATTATAGGCAAGTCGCGTACATCCTCCTTTATTTTCGAAAAAAAGACACCCACCAATTTTTTGGATCACTTGTTAGTTTTTTGGGTTGGCGTAAGATCGGCGAGCATTGCATTTGGTTTAGAGTTGCACGACAGTCTTATATCTGGTAATCCTACACAAATGCAATAAAAATTCATTTCGTCAATATATTAAGGCTGAATCAAAATAGGACCAGACTAAGCACTATGCCTTTGTTTCCAGTGCCATTGATAATGAGTCTTTTGAATATCGGTTTAGGGAGGCTTTGAATCGTTGGACTCATTGCTCTATATTACAAACTCTGTGCTTTAAATACTTGTAAAATTTTAGGGCCTCAAGCACAAAATTGTGTGAGTTGAAAAATTATTGAGCAAGCTCTCCCTGCCTTGTTTCAAAGCAATACATGTTATATTACATTGGAAGGGAAAATGAGGTCACCCAAAGTTGATTTGAGCTTGAACACGAAGGTGGTGTGAGTAAATGAGTCTTGCGTACTTGGAAAAGTCAGACGCCAAAAACACCTCAAGAATCATTGCCTGTAGCAATCAACGAACGCAAGATGTGAAAGTCGTGTTGCAGCATGACTTTTGATACGAATAATCTATTGTAACTTGAGAAAGCTGACATAAAGCAGTCCTATTGACTGTTTAATATTTTACATATGTATAGCTGCAATCGTCTGTTCGTATCTCAGAATGCACCAATTCATTTAGAGATATCAAGTAAATAACAACACTTAAGCTATGGAATCCAAGTTTGTAAAGGAGTATAAATATCACAGCAGTTACATGAGTTATGAGATCTTTTTGACGAAATTCATCAAATTGCTTTGCAACGTTGAATGGCAAGATTTGATTTCGGCAGGGAGAAATCAATATCATCGTCTGATCCATACTGTCTAACCAGATGTATATGAGTTCCATCTCCTTTCTACTCAAGCCGAAAGATGTACAAGATATCCATGCCCAAAGACTCTCAGATTCTAAGGCTAATATATCTTGTTTTAAGGAGCCTTTCCTCTAACTTGCTACTTCGGCTGAGAGTGCGCAACCACAAGAGGTATCGATTTGGACGGAAATGAAAATTTATATGTTGATGTCAAGCAATGGTGCGAATATTGTTCTACTGATATTAGCAGAAATAACGTCAGTATAATGAGCATGTTCCATTTGAGAAGCTACGAATATTTAGTTTTGAGACAGCGCAACATCGAGGAGCTCCCTTCCACCAACAATCATGACTTGAGGCTCAGAAGATTCCTGGGGAGGGGTCTGAATCAACGAGACTGCAGCAGAAGCGACCTCCGACGCCTTTATCGGGTAAAAAATGTTTCTTCCCAAAAATGTACCATGAATGTGTTTGAACACAGCTGAGCTGAGATCGTTACCAAAACCTTTTGATGCTTCTCTTTGACCAATTAAAGGGCCTGGACGTAAGATGATAGTTCTGGGAAACTTCAATGCGATGATATCGTCCTCAAGGCGGCCCTTTGTCTTGAAGTAAAGAAACGGAGACAGAGCAGAAGCACCAACAGAAGAAACAATGATAAAAGTATTGACACCAGCGTCTTTGGAAGCTTGTGCTATCTTCAAATTTATGCCATGGTCAATATCCACAAACGCCTTTGCTGAGCCTGCTGCACCACGCGTGGTGGCCAAACCAGAGAAGACTATTGATGGTTTTTCATCGTTAATGATATTGACATACTTGTCTGTGTCTTCCTCGACAATTTCCTTGATCTTTTGGCTGGTGGAATTGATGGGCCGTCTCGTAATTGATGTAATGGCTGAGAAACAGCTAGACTTTTCAGCGGTTTCCAAGAACGCCTTACCACACAAGCCGGTGGTTCCAAATATCATACATGACATTGTTCAAGTGTATTTAATTTTTGAGCAGAATACGAAGCAAGTTGTGATAAATCTCTTAATTATTTGGTCTACAATCTCCGTAGCAAGGGAGAAGTGAGGCAACTGCTTGAGTACAAGTCTCTCATTATATGCACACTATATGGTGCAGTTGTATGGTAGGAGATAGTCCACTAGTTCTTGGGCAAAACGCGGCTGAAAATGAGGCGGATTCATCCAAAATTTCTCTCTTCAATGTTACATCTAATTGCACATGAAAAGATGGGTTGTGGTCTGACAGGCGTATATACGTATCAAGTAAGCTCTTTGCCAACGCGCAAATTAGCGACCGGAGCCGGTGACATCTATTCTCAATATAAAGATGGGACTATTAAATGCCAGCTCTCAAATGTCTGCTCCATGATTTCAGATCCTTTTTGAAAAGTTCTTTTTATTTGAGGATACACATGGTACTCTTAATACTCTTGAACAAGCAGTTGCCTGAAATATATTTATACATTTGGATTTTTTTCCCACAAAAAATATCATATTATAGGGCGCAGGCAGTGGGAGCTCTTCTCTTGATCCTGCAACTGACCGGCCGTATCCCTTGTTTCGAAAAGCGCGCTGCGCAAAGCGTAGGCAATTTTTATGTGGAGTCTGAATCGAAAGGTCGTCTTGCATGAAGATTGATTGTGTGTCAAATTGGAAAGCTCGATCTATGCATGATGATATCAAACCAGACGTGATGCTATAGACTTTGAAATATAGCGTGTCTTCGATGTCTCATCCATAACCCATTCTCGGAGTCAGAGAAAACGACCAAATTTCGTGATCTATTTTGATCCGTATCAGTACTGCAACAAATACAGCCGTAGACAGCTCAATTTGGCTCCTGAACACGATGCCCGGAAGGAGATGATCATACAGATCAGGTTTTTGATTTCAACACGAGCTTTGGTAACTTCATCAACATGGTGGCGCTCCTTTTTTGTATCCTCGAATTTATTTGATCTACTCTCCAAATGAGGAGGCGTGCTCGTATAGGTCTGTAATGGCCATTGGCCCCTATTCTATTAAGACACCCGATTATGTATTCACTCACAACTATATGCCCAACTATGCTGATCCGGAACCTTGCAAAGTGGACTCATGGTCTCCATCAGCCAGGCCAGAGTTCGATAGGATAGAAGGTGACATATGGTTGTCAACAAACTTTTCATCATACTTCTCGGGATGACGTATTCTATAATGTTTCACCGCAGAAGGAAAGAGATCCATTGACCAGAAAACAAGCAAAACCCCGTACCAGAAAGAAATGGTCCACTCAAACACAGCCGACAATGTGTCATTACCTTCTTTCATTAAAACACCGAAAGCGATAGCAAAAGCAACGGCAGCTATAAGCCACACAAGCTTGGCGAAGAAGGAAACCATGTAGAGGTTCAGCCACTTATGCTTGCCAAAAATGACACGCTCATGATTTGGATGTAACCTTTGTGGGAAGTTGCCAAAGATGAAGGAATTCAAGAAATTGAAGAAACACGCCCAGAAAACGAAGAAAATGAAAACACCTACCATAGCCATGTGGACACTATGATATGTGTCGGTCTTGAATATCGCCACCATCAAGATTCCCAATTCTCCGATCACGGCCAGAATGATACTGATGATGGCGAAAATAGGTTGCTTGGAAGAAACATAAGGCTGTAGTTTATGTGCTCTGCGCAAAACGTACTCCATCACCAATGTTCCAACGAAAAAGATTAATTGAAACCCAGTGCACGCTATGAATAAAGGATTGAGGTTTGTAGCCCCAATATCACTGATGTATACGAGACTTTGAGTATCACCATTCATGAAGGCATATATTGGTCTTCCTTGTGCACCCCAGTATGCCAACATAGCTATGAGCATGCCCCACCAAACTACGAGAGCGATGAGCGGGATGCAATAATAGTGGATCTTCTTGAATCTTAGTAGTCTGGCAGTCATTTTGAGGCTTTGAATAAATAGGTCAGCGGTGTGTTGTTTACCCTCTTAATTTGACTGGTAATCAACAGAAAAGTCGTGGTTAGACCTGAGGAAGAAGGCAGGCCAGGGGTTTTGTTACCATATATCAATAGCTGGCGGCAAGTTTACCTCGTCGAGGAATGTCATATGACGGCATATGGCGCATGAGGTCATACGAGTAAAGGCGCAGCAAGAAGGCAGTGCGCTGAAAGATTACTAAAGCTACAAAGACATGTCAGGATAAAGGCAAAACCAAGTGCAAACGATACTTGAATTATAAATACAGCTTCATAAACTCTCCAGAAGTATGTTGCTGGTCTCAATGTATTATATGAGCAGTAGGATCAACCATTATATATGGCCGCTGCTTTGATTTTTTTTTGCTGCGGTTTGCCTATTGCCGCGCTACGTCCGAGGCTGTCTCGATCCATAGCCCAAAAGACCTGCGCAAGCCGCCTAATAATGACCCATAAAAACCAATGAAGTCCAATATTGACCAATAATGAACAGCAATGAACAATGATGAACAATAATGAAAAACAATGAACAATAATGTATAACAATCAACAATAATGAACAACAACAGGCAATAGCTGCACACACTTTGTGGAGTTGTTTGAACCCAAATTCGATTTGAACTCTGGCTGGAGTGTCTATACATGAAGCGCGAAACCATCATTTCATGCACAGCTTTTGGAGGGAAAATGCTGACAGGGAGTACCGAAGCTGACAAGTAGTTCCTTATTCTGACCACGCCGATATGACAAGAAGTTCACGCAAGTTTTTCTGATAGACAAGTACGCGGGTAGTCTCTCTGCCTAAGTGCTTGGAATTGGCTAGGCTACCATGCAACTGAGTGGCTTCTATGGGTTTTCGCCTTAACTGGTACTTGAACTCGGAGTAGGCAACGACAACGCGTTTGCAAATTTCACAGCTGCCCTATCCACCTCCATTTAAGCACATTCGGTTTTGTCATGCACGTAGCTATGTTTCTCAGTGGCTCTAGGATCACCTACTAAAAAATCTTCTGTCTGCTACCAAGAAAACCTTCGGCAAAATTGGAATAAAAAAATACAAGTTAAGCCAGTGAACAACTAAAGGATGGAGGTCAGAAATAAGCGGACAAGACTTTCCAGGGCCCAGGAAACTAGCCCCAGAGCACCGCGCAACTAACCCTTTCGTTATATAAATCTTCAATGCGACACTGATGCGTCAAAGTCAAGATCACGGCACGTGTGCAGTACATACGTATATGTATTCGGACGGTCACCTCGTGATTAGTCATTGCGGGGCACATGTTCAAATTCACTATAGACGACGCAATAAATCGCTACTTATGGCCAAGCCAAGTATCACGACTTCCAAGCCCTGTGGCCAGATTCCTTGGTGGGTCTACACCACGGCCGGTGTCGGATCTATGGCTATGGCTCGAGATTCTCGTCTCCACATTTTGCGGGATCGCAGTCATCGAAGCCATTTTCAAAACGCACACTGTTTTTTCTGACCACAACGCCCCGCTTATCATTGCCAGTTATGGTGCCTCTGCAATTCTCTGCTTTAATGCGAACGGCTCTCCTTTGGCACAGCCGCGGAACGTGATTATGGGCCAGTTTCTCTCGTCGTTGATTGGTCTTTGCGTGCAAAAATTGTTTCTGTTGTCTTCTGCCGGCAGAGACAATTACTGGGCTGGGGGAGCCTTAAGTGTGGCTATACTGTCAGTAGCAATGTCCATTTTCAACTGTGTGCATCCTCCTGGTGGAGCTTCTGCCTTGCTTCCATGCACAAGTGAGGAGATTCAGAGAATGAGCTGGTGGTATCTCCCTGCTCAGTTGGTTTCCTCTGTAGTCATGGTTGCTGTAGCCTGTATTTTTGGTAACATTTTGAGAAGCTATCCTTCGTACTGGTGGTCCGGAGGAATCATGGGGAAGCCGTTAGAAGATACCGAAAAGGACAAAGAAGACGTTCTCCTGTTGCCATCAACTGTACGCAGTGAGAAGTCTCATGCCTTACGCTACGTGGATGGCTTACCTCGAATCGAGATCGACGGCGGCTTCATCAACTTGCCTGCGGGTTTGGAGTTGAGCAACCTTGAGAAAGACTGGCTTACTTCGCTTCAGAAACTGATGGCTAAGCTTGAGTCATAAGAACATTGCATATATCGCAATTAAGAAGAACGTTTGTGATCACTATAACTAAAATTTTAATTAAAACAGGTGAACGTTCGATGCAATGCCTTTGGCAACGTACAATAGGAATACTGTCGTGTGTCATGTTTCATACTGAACCAAGAGTACGTCCCAGATATAGAATGATCCGCTATTAAAAATGAGTATAGTCATTCTAGTAAAGCATCGGGGATCTCTTGACGTAAATACTTTGGACGAACCATGTGTGCGTAATCTTGAAGTGTCTATTTCATCTTAAAGTGTATTCGATGAGGTTGATCTTTCTTTGGCTAGCAATATCAAAAAGCCTTGTGCTATTTATTGAAAACGCAAGCATTTCTTACTTAGAGTTGTACTATACCATCAAAAGTAGACTTGCGTCGCTCGACAGTAACGAGCTTCAGTCATTCTTTTCTTGTGCTCTCTATATTCCACGAGCAAAGCGAAGATGAAAAATAACTTCTTTAGCTGTAATCATCATATTTCTGTCATAAAGTTTTCTTGCTTTTGGTTTTATTATATTCTCCCCTGAAGACACATCATTAAAGGAACAAAACATTTTCCACGTATACATTTCTTTGTTTGGTAAATTCTAATCAAGAGAGCAACATTTAGAATGAAACAGTTTAAAGCCAGCTTATAGATCTGTATCTCTGATTATTTCATTTCTCTTGTAGTTTGGAAGCTCCCATGGGCATGAAGTTGGTGTTGGAAAGAATCTTGCAATTCTCTGTAGTTGTTTCAACCAAGCAGGCTGAAGAATACCTAAACAAGTCATTTACTGTGATATATATGACGTTTAAACCACCTGGATCTGGAACTGTTTTTGCGCGAAAGCTTCTCTAAGTTAAAATCAACAACATATCACGAGAAATGTTGAAGTTCTATCAGACTTCCATTCGAGATACGCTTTGCGTTGCGTGAATATATTGTACTACTATTTTCATTTGTCAAGCTTCGTTCCTCATGGCCCAATGGTCAAGGCGTCTGGCTACGAAAGTAACCACTTCTGTTGGAACCAGAAGATTCCAGGTTCGACTCCTGGTGGGGAAGCTTCTTTTTTTTAAATCAATGTTATGATAATGCCTGTCAAATTTGAGGTCGTTTAATTCACATAGTTGAATGGAATTGGTGTTATGTTTCATTTTGGGGACTTTTTAATCTCTCAAAGACTATACAGCTCTTTCGCATTACTTGTATGTAACCGCATAAGAAGTCGTATTGATTACTATCACGTATACGCGCACAATACTGATTCAAAGGACTTCTCCTAAGAACTTTCCCACTAATGAATATGCATATTTGCTTTCAAACTTGCCTTCTACAGCATTTTGCGCACCCCGAGCAGACATGTAATCAAGACTTTCCACGTAGAACAATCCGTCATGGATCCCACCGTCTTCAACATAAACCTCTAGTTTTCCGTCACCGTCTTTGGTTATCACATCGATGAAATTTTCGATACCGTGGCGAAGGTGCTCTCTTTCACCATATATATACAAAGTTCTTCCTTTTCCGTTGACCGAGTCTACATTGGCCCATTGAGAGGCATAATCATTATCTGTGAAGCGAACAAATGGTGCAACATCTGATTTATCCAAGCCTTCAATATACCAATCTCCCATTGTCGAGTCTGGTGCTCCTAAGTCACCCGAATAATCGAAGTTGGGATCAAGCACCGGCTTTGTATATGGCTCTAGCCAAGGCGAAATCATAACCACATTTTGAGGTTGAGGCAAGGGCGAGAAGTCCCAGTCAAAGTCGGTAAACTTAGAGAAATGTTCACGTGCCTCATCCAGGTAGGCGATGAAGCGGGCCACGGCAGCAGAGAGGTTGACACCACACGAGTCGCCCACCAAAATAATGTCGTCATAGCCTTGCTCGACCATGGCACGATATGCTGCAATAGCTTCGTTAATTTGGGTGGGATACTTTTTTTAGTGGCACGTCAAAGAATAATCAAGAATGGCAATTGATAAGTCTGATCTCTTTGGCTCGGGCACCGCGTAGTAAAGCGCAGTTATGCCCACAAATTGCGTAGCAAATATGTTGAGGCAGTACCCGCCGCCATGCAAGAAAAGAACAGCAGATTTCTTAGGCCCCTTGTTATCTTTTGCACGTACGATCCACGACGTGCGGTTGTTGATTTTATCTCCAAAGCCGTTGAGGCCCACAGTCAAAGGCGACAGTTTGAACTTCTCGAACAATCTTGTCACTGGCATATACATGAAAAGAGCGACATCATCGCGCGTGTAGTTATTGGCCAAGTGATTTAAAACACACAAATGCGTGTTTTTGTAGAGAGAACCCTTGAACTCTTTGTTGGTGCGTTGGAATATTGTGCCCACGGTATAATATTTGATAACTGAAACAAGAATTGCCACGGGCATTGTGATCAACCGCGAGAGGAACCGCAAAGAGAACGTGGCCATTTTGCAGGTTTGAAAGAGTCTCTTACTACCGCCAGAACTATGTAATCTCAGGGAAAAAGAAAAGCACGAGCTGTCTATAAAGTATTATCCGGCCACTTCGTTCAAAATGCACGGCCTTCAGATACGAACACGAATGGCGCTATGTGCCCGACATCGCGCCTTGAGACGCCAAAGATTCGTATGTGCCGGTATTCGTTTGCCGAGCCGACGTGATGGAAAGAAAAGCTGAATTCTACTAAGTTTTCGGATACGCGGGATCAGGCGAGCATCTTGACTGACACTTATTTGTTTCTCTTACTTGTTCGTTAATATTTGGAGTACCCATATACTTGCCTTGATATCAGCGGATGTAAGCTACTCGATATAATTTGAAATCGCCCTGTTACTCGCTTAGAGTTTCCCTTCACAGACTGAGTCTGCAGAAAGCTCCCGGAGTTCCGATTTAATTGCGGCTGATCTGTCAAAACAATGCAACTCATACACAATTGTTCCGTAAAGCTCCCAATAATTGTGAAATGGAAAGCACGTGATGTTTACAGGACATGTTTCTTCACAAAGACTTCCTGTCTCTGCTATCAGATGTCGCGTCCATCCTGAACCAATATCATAGCCATGTGGATTCATCATTAACGTACACAATGTAAATATACGTTGCTCTTCTAATTGGTAAAAAGTTACATAATTTGTTCCATCCATACGTGGTATATATTGCCTTCATGAAGGAGATAAAGAGACACTGCAAAAACGTCCCGAGAAAAAATCCGACTTTGCTTACTCATCGCCCCACTCACATACCATTGAGCACTTTCTGGAAGTGAGAGAATGACATGTCTGGGACTTGAGAAAAGGTGCCTGTATCTCGCGGTTCGCCAATGAAGACAAATCTCAGAACTCCACTGAGAAGGAGTGGGATCAAGGTTGAAACCTCTGAAGATTGACTTGCGTCGTCCATGACAACAATGGGCTTCTTGGTGTAGTCCTTAAAATACGGACTGCCTGCACTAACGGGAGTAGTGAATATGACGTCTCTCTCGGAAAGTATTCGACTAAAATGTGGAATTTGTGCAGACTTCATATCTCGATACTCGCTCCATGATAGAGAACTCTTCGTATCCCGCATCTTTCTAATGAAACTCTTTATCCTTGGGGACATTGCATCATACACCATATTATGTAAGCATACCGACAGAATTTTATGCCCCCTGTTATACTGAAATTCCTTAGTTGAAGCAACAATCCGCACGATGGAATTTTTGTACGTTGGAAGCATTTTTTGGGCAATCTTGTCCAATATCACATTAGATGTGCTGACCACAAGTATAGGATGTATCCTATTTTCCAACAACTCCTTGACCACCTCCAAAGTTGCATCCTCAGAGGTGACATTTTGAACCTTGGGGACAATAGTCACGGGATTTTTCAAAATGGACTGTACTAGTTTTGATTTTCTTGATCTGTCATGAACTAAATCAGGAATGACTTCGTCGAGACTTCGCGTGACCATACTTTTACCCAAGATTATATCACGAAAGTCGGATTTTTTGATTTCAGCCAACGCTTTGAACATTCTGCTCAGTGGGACAGATGCAGGTAAAATTTTGAGCTTGCTAACGTCAGCCTTAACAGGTAACGAGTCGACATTGAAGTGAAATAGCTGAACATCTACCTTCAAAAAACTGGGGTTTTCACTTGAGAAGTAGTCTTTGTAGTTTTTTGAGCCAGATTGCTCTATTTCAGAGGATGTAACAATGCAATACCATGTCCTATTATTATCAGCCATAAGCATCAAAGTTTGGCCCACGTATAGCGGCTTTACACCCACCTTTTGTATTTTTTCCGAAATATATCTTTTCAAGAACTGCGGTGTTAGCAAAATTTTGAGGGAAAATGCTTTGGGTGTATTTCCTGGCTCTTCATACCATACCAAATCAAAGTCGCTGGAAGTCAAAATCTTCGAAGGGGGTGCGTTCATTTTCTCTTCAAGAATCACGTTTTGACAAACTCGTGTCATGTAAGTTTGCAACGCCTCATATGTGAGTTCACTACTTCCCTGCGTTTTGTGATGCGTTCTTTTGTTTCCTTGGATGGACGAGTATGAAGCTGGTTTCTCTTTCGCTGCCTGCTTTTGGCCGAGCCTTAAGTCCCGTTGATGACCTTTTTTCTGCTCTTCAATGCCATGCGGAGCTAATGCGCTTGAGCTGGTCGAGACTTTCATGCCATTCGATCTATTCGACGAGCTTGTCAGATTTTGTGGGTTAGCTGATGTTAGCAACTTCAATGTGTCATACCGAGCGTGTCTCTCCTGAAGATCTTGCTTAGCTCTGAATTCTATCCTCTGATAAAATGAGAAGCTTCTTTTTGAACTGTCACTTCGACTTTTTCGTGTTTTCTTCAATTTCGATGTCTCTTCTTTGCATCCTAATTTAGTTTTAGTTGATTGGGAGCCTATATTCGTTTCATGGACCGGAGTTTTTCTTGTAAGGGAATGTGTTTTCCTGCTTTTGACAGCTTTTGCTTTTGCTCTATCGTTTTTCTTTATAGATGTAGAGTAGAGATGGGTTTGATCCACAATTGTGTTTAGGTACACGCCAGAGGAACATTGACCAAAGAAAAATCTCAGCAGTGATGGCCCAAGTCGTACAACTTGACAAAGATTAATCATGCAATACTCCGAAATTCATAGACCCATAGAGAATTTTATGCAGAAAGTTCTGAGATATGCTCTTCAATTTAAATAGGCGCTTCAGATCGTTTTGACAGGTTGTGAGATGATGCAGCCTGAATCTGAGGCAGGGCATCGTCGTTAAGCTCACGTGATGTCCTCGCGTCTGAGGTTGTAATCTTCAAACCGTCTTAAAACATGGAGCCGAATTGCGATTAGGATGGAGAGAATAAATGACGGGTTCTCGTGAAGCTGAATAGAACTCATTCATATTTTTTTTTTCAACTTGAAGCCCTTATCATTCGAAATATTGACGTTTTCGTAAGATGTGAAAGTCTAGATCACCTGTGATTCTGGTATAGAAGGAGAATACCATTTACACTGACATGGATGTTTTGCTGAATGAGACAGCTGTGACGAGATTCTTGAAATTCTGAAGTTTAAAAGTCCGCATAATTTACGTGTTTTTGCATTGCTCTAGTTCTCAAGAAGAAAATACATCTGGCCATGTTATAAGCGTTGATTCCCGTATTCTTCCGAAGCATTTGTCCCTAATCATTATGATTCATGGATTTTATCATCTATCTGTCGTTTTGTGGAATGTATAGAGTACAATGAAAAAGCCATGGGACATCGTGAATCAAACCCGTGGCAATCGTCAATATCGAAGTACTTCGGGCTATGGGCTGGATATACAACCGAGACAATCAAAATCTTTAAAAAGAGCCCTTCAATTGTTGGTGTCAAAAAAAAAAGACTCATACAGTTCAACGCATGATCTGGTTTTGCTGTCCAAAATTTGATGTAACTTGTTGTACGGTATTACGAGCTTATGACAACAAAGTTCCAGGCGAAGGCAGCGGTATCTTCTTGGTTTCTAGAGAAAATAAAGTTCTGTGAAAAAAAAACAATTGCAGGTTCACTGTAGTCACATGGTGAACACCAGAAAGAAAATTTTCAGTGAGCGTATAGGAAACTCATTTATCTCACAATCCACTGACTCTAGCGATTAGCTAATCAGATCATTATTTCCTAACATGCACCTTTAGACTGTGCAGACCTGATTCATTTAGCAGGCCTCAAATATGCGTGCGAAGCTTAGCATCCAGGCGTCATTCGATTCACCAATCACAACATTTAATGCGCAAATAATAAAACATTTTGTCTGTTTTAACAACTGTTTTTGACTTTATTCCAGTTATGAATACCTTTTAAGGGATGAGTCTAATATAGAAGCTTGTTCTGCACTTGATGAATGTAGCAATGATAAGCCGAGCCCTAAGCGAGCATACAGGGAAGGCTGGGGTTAAAATCCAGGAGCAATAAAAGTTGGGAGAAAAAAACACCCCGTACCATACCGTTAATCCAGCGAAACGACCTGCTGCTACTCCAAGTTTTCCGGGGCAACCTGCAACACAACAATCAGAAAAGTTTCTCTGCTCCTCAAGAAACATCCTAATTATCAAATCCATCAACTTGAATCCCCACCAATATAATGAAGTGCTGTGCAGCTACACTCCTAGGCATCTATGTGGCCACAACAATTGCTGTTAATGTTTTCCGTAACTTGCGGGTCAGTTTAGACTTGGAACTACCCCATGCGGCAAAGCTGAAGGTGAACTATCTCACGGGTAAAGAGACGCTCGATGATCTACTTGGTTTGCCTGATTTGGTCAATGACGACAGTGACGACGATTTCGACGAGCCAGCCACTCCCAAACCATACTAGGAGCATGAAATGTTTGCTCCCATATTATTTGACTTGACCAGGTTTGTGCTCTATTTATGATTCCTCTTTGCATTTTCGACTGGGTTTTTTTAATTGTATATACGGCGGTGTCCATCTATTTAATTCTTCCCTCACTCTCTAGTAATCGTAGTATAACTTTTAGGTGACTTACAAATGGGCCCAAGAATGTAGAAGAGACTCACCATGGTTGCTGCGAATGCCACAGCTCAGAATGCTGAAAGTTCTTTACAGAGCCTTTTTTCATGCTTCACTTGAAGAAATGAGTCAAACTCTGGTGCGCCTTGAGCCTGAATTGCTGCGCCTCAAGAAAAAGTTGGGATCAGTAGCCGCGATGCGACTGGACTGAGTCATAGGCATCCGTAAAATTAAAATATCCTAATTGAGATGAAAAATGATTATTTGTAGTGATTTCATGTGTTGACGGGGAAAAGAGAATTCTGTGGCATTTCTTCTTTTAAGCCTGTTACTTTTTGATCTTTTGGTGTTCGTACAATTTTTTTATTTCTTGAATTGTTTGGAAAACACTCCATAAACAGGCGTAAATCCCAAATCATACAAAATGTAAAAAAAATAGCCCCGGAGAACCAAAGGAAAACCAAATACAAAGCTATCTTCTCTTGATCAATCTTTTTTAAAAAAGAGATCAGATAAAGATTCTTTTTAATTTAAAATGCGCCACACGGGTCATAAAAAACAAAGCCCCACCAGTGTTACATAAAGGAGTTCAATAGCTCAAAGTCAGAAAATCATAGTGATCAGAAGCCATGCATGAGTATCCAAATTATGATCTGAGATTATACGCTTGAAATTTGTTTGGCAGTTTTGGTGATCACGAAGTCTTACCGAAACTCTTGTCAACTGAACTAGGCTAAACGGGGCCCGGCTAAGTATGCTCAAGTGTTTTTGCCACTCTGTTTCTCATGTTGCCGAAGCCGCGAGATAGAAGTACAAGTTTCTACCGCTAGGCAGCATTAGAAAAAGAGCGGCAAAGAAGACACTGGCAGTTCCTGAAATAAACACGGTATTTTGGTCTCTCTACATTGTCGTTGCCATTTTTTGCACTACAGACCCAATAGTACGCACAGACGACATGCTTTAAGTTAGCAGCTGTACTAATGTAGCTAACTTCCTGGAACTTAACTAATCGTCGCTGAAGTTCCATGGTATAACTCTAGAAAGGGTCTGTTCCGTTGACTCTCTTATTTACATAATGCTCGAGACGATTTCTGTCTGACAAAATTCGCACCTTTTCTGCAAAACCAACAAAAAGGGCTCGCGTTTCCTATAGCTCTTCCAAAGCCGATGTATGAAAATAAGAACCATTCTTTTCGACGTTGGATTAGTTTCTCATTTCCCCGATTAATGGTAGTAGAGCTGACTGTGAATTTGATACATCGCAACTGCTTAGTATTGAGTATTTCAAAAGAAAACGATGGTAGCTAGAAGCTGGCCGTGGTCATTGGTCGTCGACCTGCAGTCACGGAAGATGCTTCTACAAATGCCCAAGTACATTTCATTGGAAATGAGCGAGCTTGTCATCTGGCGCGAAAATACGTCATAGCGTACTTAACACACCCCAGGTCTTCACGTGTTTTTAGCCACCCGATACGAATGACGTCAGACCTGTCCACAACGGATATTCAAACGCGAGGACGGACTGGATGTGTGCGAAGAGTGGAGCAATTTTCAGAATCGTGGAACTGACTTGAGGACCACTTGCGCAAAAAGCATCCTAGAATAAGGAGAGTAAACATGAAAATCCAAAGAGAAAAAAAAGGAAATTCAACACGCTATGAAAATCCATTGTAGACTTTGCTTTATTGTTAAAGGCCACTGCTTCTATTTAGTACCTATCGGAAGAAGCTCGTTTGATTTGTCTCCAAGGCCAAGAGAGGACCGGCATGGTGAAAAAAGTTAACTCAGGAACACTTCCAACGTATAGATCATGTCTAGGCACAACAGATCTGGCAACTGGGACGTGAGATGTCTCAAGCAACCAGCGGCGTTCCAGGCTTTCGGACTTGGCTCGGCGCCCGTTATCCTGGCGATGTGCATCCGTACATGCAGGCACTCGTCATCCGCTGATTCAAGATGGGCTATCTGAAGGACTCTTCGCTCGGATTAGGATGGCCCATCAACACTACGTAATTTTCTAGGCAAGTACAGGTGGTACCCCGACCACAACTGCCTATGCATCGGACACAACCAGGGGACCAGAAATGGAACTAAGAAAAGAAAACAAACAAAACAAAACACTGATTTGTGGCCGCAGCAAGGCTCAGTGCGGTCACCGTCCTTGAAAGTGAGGATTGATGGTTGGAGCGGACTTTTTTCTGGCTTGGTACGGCTAGGCCTTCCTTCGAGAAAAGACACTTTATGTAAAGCGAGCGTACTGATTTTCCAGCAGTTTCTCGATAGCAACGAGCATCTGAGACCGCCAGACCCTGGATTTGCGCAAACGTGGCCACTTTTAGGTCGCGTATTCTTATCGGATCTCAAAGAATGGACAAGCAGTAAACAGGGACAGCACAGGGCAGCTCGAGTGAAAAAAATAATCTGGGCGGTCCTAGTTTGTCTCGTTCCTGCCTTATTCAAAAATAATCACCACAGCTGCGATTGTGCCGAATGGGCCTACTTTCCTATCTTATCTCAGCCAGTTTCACGTTGCCTGGTCCTATTTGGTCGTGCTAATTTTCGCCGCTTAGTTTCTTTTTCTTGCTGCTGCTAACGTAATCGCGCTTTTCATCCATGCACAATGGCGTCGAGCCGTAAGGAAATGCTCTTGATCCCGGCAAGCCAAAACCCGCAATGCCATATAGTCTCTTTTCGGCCTTGCTTAGATGTCCATCATGGAAGGGCAAAAAAGACACATAGTTCTGATCACGTGGCTTATTGTTCGAGCCAACAGCGGCCAGCGGCAAACTCAGATTGAAGCCCTTGGGCCACATTCTTACTACTAGCACCCGCACGGCTTCCCCACAGCCAGTCGTGGATAAGGCTTGATTCGTAAAAACCCAAAGTTTTGAAATTAAGTGGAATCACCGGGCAAACCGACCAATGCCGGGTACTCTCAGCGATGCAGCCCCGGGAACCACGGCAAGGATGCAGGCCATACCCGCACCAATCTTGTCTCGTCTGAGTGTATGCAGGCCCCGTTATTGATTGCTGATTTCTTTTTTTGTATTCTGCCCATTGTGCATTTCGCTGTCGGCCCCATCACGTTTTCTGCTCGAGGTATATAAACAGGCGAAGAGACTTGGTGCCCGCCTCCTTTTGTGAGCACCTAAAACTTGCACTTTCCTTTACTCAACACACACATTTACACACACTACACAATGGATTTTTCTTACGATAACGTGGTTCCCAACTTCAGATTGGACGGTAGACTTGCCATCATTACCGGAGGCTCCGGAGGTATGAGTGCTGTTCTTTCAAGGGCACTTTTGGCACAGGGTGCCGACGTGGCCCTTGTTGACATCAACTTGGAGAGAACTACCGCGGCTGCAAAAGAGGTTCTTGCGTGGGGTCAAGAAACTTTGAAGGGCGCACGTGAGTCCACTGTGGGCGACGTCTCCGCATGGGCTTGTAACATTGGTGACAGCGAATCTGTCGAGACCACCTTCGCTGAAATCAACGAACACCACGGCAAGATTGCCGACATATTGGTGAACACCGCAGGCTACGCCGAGAACTTCCCTGCTGAGGAGTATCCTGCGTCCAACGCTGAAGGCATTTTGAGAGTGAACGGTCTTGGTGCTTTCTACGTGGCGCAGTCGTTTGCCAGGCCTTTAATCCAGAACAACTTGAAGGGCTCGATCATCTTGGTTGGCTCCATGTCGGGCACCATTGTCAACGACCCCCAGCCACAATCCATGTACAACATGTCGAAGGCCGGTGTCATCCATTTGGCGAGATCTTTGGCTTGCGAGTGGGCCAAATACAGCATCAGGGTGAACACGTTGTCCCCGGGATACATTCTCACGCCTTTGACGAGAAACGTCATTTCCGGCAACACCGAGATGAAGGACACCTGGGAGTCCAAGATTCCAATGCACAGAATGGCCGACCCCAAGGAGTTCGTGGGTTCAGTCTTGTACTTGGCCTCCGACTCCGCCTCGTCTTACACTACTGGACACAACTTGGTGGTCGATGGTGGGTACGAATGTTGGTAGTCATAAGGCTTTTGGCTACCGATCCGCTTTGGGTATTTCATTGCTTCGTGGGTGACGATTTTATAGAATATGACTTCAATACAACATTACTACGGAAAACGGCGCGATGCTTTCTCGAATATCACTTCGCATCGATACCAAGTTAGGGTTCGTTGAAGAACGCGTTTAGTGTTTGGCTCAATGTGGCGATACATTTCCGGCATCTTCATCGGGTTCAGCATGCCCAACAATTGAAGCAGGATTCAAGGGTGATTGAGGCCATTCGAATTTTAGCCGACACGCCTCAGTCTCCGGCCGATAAGACCAGATAATTAGCGTTCAGTCCCGGGTTTCTGGGCCACGCCTTCCGGTTTCATGTCACGCGGACTCAGAACTCCGAGATATCCGCGATGCTTTTTCTCGCGAAACACGGGGAAGTCAGAATAATTAGCGATCTAAATATTGGGTGGTTCTCCATCTATTGAGCGTGTGAAATCAGGTCTTGTGGCATGAGAGCACCTCTCCCAAGAATGGCATGTCTCTGGCTAACTCAATCATCGACATGAGACCATTATGGTTTTCACCATTCATATCTGTATTGTCACCCCCACATGTTCCCCACTCCGCCCCACTACCTCACCCGCCTCTCTTTTTTCTGCGCCCTCATCACCCCGGGGTTATGCAAGGTTCATAATACTATCATGCAACAGACATGTGTGTGTACTGTGCATGGCAATACAATTCCGAAGCCGTGTTTTGTAGATACACGACATAACCTAAAACCATCTCGGGTAGCTCCATGGCTGGATAGTCACTCATGCGATAGTTGTCGCGAACTCCCCATCTAGCCCAGTTAGATGGAAATCTACTCTCAACTTACATAGGACCACCCCACATTAGGATAAGGCTTCTGACTTCACTGGCGAGCCTGAAATGAAGGACCAGGCGAATCGCAAAGTCAATGTTGAACTCCAGTTTGGGGAGGCGCAGACCAAAGCTCAGACTTCTCCTCCTGTGTTGGACGCTGGCCGGAACTTCGAGCTCTCCCACATTTTCATCAACGATTTCTTGAAGCGTCCAACGTTATAATCAATGATGGTGAGAAGCTCATCCATGTTTGATTCAGATTGTCCAGGCCCATTATCTTCATCATTCCGAATCAAAGCCACTAAGGCTAAGCCTCGGATCATTTGTTTGTAGAGCACCAGGCCATTTGAAAGATACGAAATGGACTTGATTTCATCCTTGACAACCTGCTGGTCGGACTTCGCGTCATTCTCCACGTAGAGGTCGTCTAAATCTATGGTGATGTCTATGAACTCGGCACAAACTTCATAGGTCTGTATATCCACGGGCGACGAGTCAGTGGCCACGTAGATTTTAGAGTTGACATCGAAGAGAAAGACCTTGTCGATTGAGGAGTGGGCGACTAAGTTGTCTAGCATATTTTCAAGCGAGGGCAATTCGGGCACTAGCTTTTGCACAATCCGAGAGAACGCCTCGTAGATGGAGTGGTCAAAAATGGACGTGAGGTAAAACGAGACTTGCACACCCTCGAGCCCAAGATCCAACAACTCGTCGCCTGTCCTCTGCATGATGTCCCTTTGCGCATCGATACGGTAGTCTTCGGAAAGCCCGTCGATTTTGTGGATGAGCACCTCGATGTGTATTTTCGGGTTGACCCTGTGGGCGTACTCAATGATCGTCGACAAGTTTGTCAAAGCATTGAGGTACTCGTCCTGCGAATCGATCACATAAACTAAGGCGCCCACGCTGGAGAAAAGCCGCTCGCTATCATATGAGGGCTCGAAGTAATTGAGTTGACCGGGAAGCTCCATCACAGACAAGTCGATCAAAGACAGAAACTGCTCGCTGGTGGGCTTCGATGTGCTTTCCAAGTATAGGGTATCGAGAGGCTGCATGTTATGGAACACAACTTTGCAGATGGACGACTTGCCGCCCCTTCGTAAGCCCATCAACAAAATGGTGGCGTTCGAGCTATCGGGAGCCGTTTGGAGCTGCTGCTGCTGCTCCATGTTTCGTGAGTGGGGTAGAATATTTATGGTGGTGCGTCAAGGAGGAGCTACGATTTGGAATGCAGCTTGAAAACTGGATGCAGATAGAATCCGGATACAACTTGAATCTGGATACAACTTGAATCTGGATACGACGTGAATCTGGATACGACTTGGATTCGGATGGGAGCGAAACTTCCGACGGAGACCCGGAGTCTGGAGGCAGCTGCGAGTTTCAGAAAATGGAGTGCCGCTTGGTTTGCCTGGGTGTCCTGACTGGATGCGAGTCTCTTAGCACCTTCTTTGTAGCGTGCTCAGGGTAGATAGGAGGTTGCGTTTGGATGAGCCCTGCCGGAGCTCGCTCGCGCCGTCATATGCAGATAAGAGGCGCTGGGCACGAGGCCGCGGGCCAAAAACGCAGTTTCCGCGGCCGCGACATGCACCTGGTGCGGGCCCATGGTCACCTCACTGAAGGCCCCCGGAGATCGATGCCTTCGCAGCTCTCCACCACGGTGCTGCCGTAGCTGCCTACTGCGACCGAAGCCGGGGCCTCGGTCAATGCATAGGGCCGCTCATTCCAGAGCCCAAAAACTCGCACGGTGCCGTCGTTGGCAGCAATGGCCACTTTTGTCTGGTCCGGCGCCATTGTGGCACTGAGTGCCCGCAACGGATCGCGCACTTGGGCGAGAGCCGTGATTTCGGAGCCCGGGTACTTGTAGATGGCCGCGGCCACGTGGTCGTCGGTGGCCAGAAACCCAAACGTAAGCAATAGCTCTTTGTAGAACGAGCTCCAGAACACCGAGGTGATCTGGCGCTTGGTGTCGATCTCTTGGAGGAGCGCGCCGCTGCCCGTGTGCCAGAAGCGCAAGTGGCGGTCGTTGCTGCCGCCGCCGGTGGCCAACAAGCTCGGGGCCCAGGGGCAGAACAGAATCCCCTTGACGGCGGACATGTGGGGGAGGCGGCACATTTCCCGCGGCTCTGTGGCGGTGGAGATATCCCACACGATGGCCAAGTTCTCGTTGGCGCCCACGGCGACCTGTGAGCAGTCCCTGTTGAGCGAAAAGCCGCAGATCTGCTGCGTGAACCCGGGGAAGTGGCATAGCATGCGGAGTGCCGAGCCGTCGTACGCAAGCAAGCACACAGCTCCCGTCAGGTCGCCGGTGAAGAGGCGCTTGCCGTCGGGGAACCACTCCACGCACTGGACAGACGCGCTGAACTGGCGAGACGCCGGGCGCCGCTTCTGGGTGATCTGGTACACGCCGAAGAAGCCGTCGGAAAATGAAATGGCCACTGCGTCTCCGTTCGAACACGCCACGCACGACACCGGGGCCAACCCTGGGCGCTGGATGTTCATGTCCCGCACCTGGCTGGACCCGTCCCACCAGTAGGTCTTGCTGTCGATGGCTATGGCAATGGCGTTGTTGAGCGGCGACCACGACACCAAGTTGAAGTAGAAGTTGTTCACCAAATTGTACGTCACGAGGTACTGGAGCTCGCGCATATCTGCGGGCTCTTTTGCCGGCGACGCCGAGGCCCTGTGCACGCTGTCCAGTCTGCCGCTGGACACGAGAGCCCTGACAAGGTCCCGGGGACTGCCGCTATTGCTGGTTCGGGCGGAATTTCTGCTGGGGGTGCGGAGCCGCTTTCGGCCCTGGCGGGGGAGAAGCTCCGCCGGGGCCGGCGGCCTGTCGGGCCGGGCTCGCTGGGGCACCGGCTGGATGAAGGTGCCGTGGTTCAGGCCCGGCCGGCTCTTGTCGTCGTATAGACTCATTGGCTCGGAGGCACGCGAGCGCCGCGAGACGCAGGGCTCCACGGAGCTCATTTCATCTGCATCCAGCGCCAAGACCATGCCGCTGCAGTCGTCTCGAGACGGATGCGAGAGCAGCACATTCAGGCCGTTGTTGTGCGGGAGCATGGCGCTCATGGGCGTGCCCATGGACTCGCCGCTGGCACCCAGGTCTTCGAGCGTGAGGGCCCGGAGCGTGTCGGCCAACTCGTCGAAGCGGCTGTGCGGCTCGGGCGGCTGGTACACTAAAACACGGGCTGTTTGCAAACCCAACGCGTTGGAGATCTCGTCGGGGTGGGGCACCTGGCTGAAAGAGGGCACCAGATGGGAATGCACTAGTGGGTTTTGCAACCGGGCCCGGGCCGAAGACAGGGAACGGATTGGGCCTGGCACGCAGGGCGCCGTCACAAGCTCGTCCCGGGAGGAGAGCGCCATGTAGTTTCCGAGACTTGGTGTTGACGCTAGTGACGGTAGGAGCCTGCGGTCGGAGTGGCTGCGAAACATTGCAAAATGGCTGGTCCCAGAGGGACACTGGGAAAGACCGGCAAGCCACGCGGCAGAAAGAACAGTGGGGTCGAAAAATTCCGGGTCTGCTTACAAGGAGAAAGCCCTGCACGAGAAATAGCACGTGTGGCACAAAGGGCACATAAGAGATGGTGGTATGACTGGTGTCTCTGTGAGTGCGAGCTCTGGCGCAGCGTGCTTCTCTGGCAGAAGCGCGGATGAGGCGCGGGGCCAGTCTCTATATTACTGGACGTGAATACATACAGTTGGATATATGGGTGTTCTCTGGATACGCCTGAAGGTTAAGCGTGGATGGGTAGATATAATCGTGTGCTCTGGAGATACAGACAGCTATTTGTATATGTGTTTTTGTATTCCTTCCGGTGAATATCCTCTTCCTCCAGCGTTGTATGGGTTTGCTCGAGCAGGTCTTGTGCGGCCTCAGTCAGGCAGCCCGGGCGCACTTAGGCCCGCTATCATGAGACTGCACCTCGCAGCGACCGTCTGTCTCCACGTATTTCTGTCCACCCCAAAACATCCCCCAGCAACTTGTTTGGACCGCCGTGTGCCCGTCAGCGTCAAGCCGTTTTGGGACCTAATTGCCAGTCCAAAAAACCCGCAAGACCCATCCCCACAGACACCCAGGCCGTTCGATATGGACTTGTCCCGTCTCACGGTGCCAGCCTTTGCATCGCTCTCGGCCACCATCAGCAACAAAGTCAGTGTCCACGTGACGCGGCCATTCATTGACGAGATCTTCCATCTCCGCCAGTGCCAGGCTTACTGCAGGCACGACTTTTCCAGCTGGGACGAGAAGATCACAACGCCCCCAGGGCTATACGTGCTAGGCACAGTATACTCGCATGTTCTACACGCGTTTGGCGTCAAGAACTCGTGTGGCCACGATGCTCTCCGGTCGCTAAACTTGATGGCCGGCGCAGCTGTGCTCCCGCTCGTGCTTTCCATGGTGCCTACCGCTAATTACTGGAAGATCAACATCGTGTCCATGCCCATTCTCTTCACGTACTACTTTCTATTCTACACAGACGTTTGGTCCACCGTGCTAGTCGTGACTAGTGTATTCATGGTGGCCCGGAGGAGAACCATGAAGGGTGCGATCTCCGCCAATTTGGCCGGCTTCTGCAGCTTGTGGTTCCGACAGACCAACATCGTATGGATCGCCTTCGCGGGGCTCTTGATGATCGATCTCCGGAGACGAAAACATCCTTTGTTTGTCGCAAACGTGTCCCTATTTGTCAAACAGGCGTTGCGCGACTGGACGCTTCTCCTTCCGTTCTGCGCCAACGGTCTCTTGTTCGGGGCCTTCTTGAAAATCAATGGCGGCATCACCTTTGGCGACAAGGATAATCATCAAATGAGCATACACTTGGTTCAGGTGTTCTATTGCTTCTCGTTCATGGCTTTCTTCACCTCCCCCATCTGGTTCGGTGCGTCCACGTTGAGAAATTACCTTAGGTTTGCGTTCGCCGGAAACAAATCCTTGAACACTATAGCCACGATGCTCTCGTGTGTTGCCATCCGCCACATTATACAACATTATACCATTGTCCATCCGTTCTTGCTTGCGGATAACAGACATTATACCTTCTACATCTACAGAAAGGTTCTCAGCAAGCCCTTGGCGGACGTGCTTTTAGTTCCCGTGTATCATTTTTCAATTTGGGTCGTTTCACACATGCTTGTGCGTACTTCTCGAAGATCGCCGCTCAGCATCTCGCCGTTGCTCGTGATTGGGTTCTTTGGGTCATTGGCACTCACATTGATCCCATCCCCATTGTTTGAGCCACGCTACTATATCGTCCCGTTGGTTTTGTTCCGTGTCTTTATTCGTCCTGAACACGCAGCCACTGAAAATCAAAGGTACATGTGTGAATTTCTTTGGTACACGCTTATAAACATGGTATTCTTCATCATTTTCTTTTCGTACGAGTTCGCTTGGCTTTCGGAGCCTGGCATTCAGCGGATCATCTGGTGATGGACATTAACCAAATCAATTCGTTTATAGTATCCCCACAAGCTAGGCTGAATCTTCAGCTGTTTCATTTACCTTGTGTGCCGTCTTTGGGTCATTTTCTTTACTTTCGCCGCCAGTCGGCGGCATATTTTCAAAAGCCACGGTGTCAATGTCGCGTAAGTTATCATCAAGAAGTTTGTCCGCTTTGCTTTCTGGGATGGCCATCAGGGGCGTCTTTTCTCGCAACTTTCGCATGAGGTTTTGATTCGCTTCCAAACGCAAGTTTTCCGCCGAGAGGCTGGAGATCCAGAGAGTGGTGGCACGGTCCTTAAGAACATTTAGGTATGGCAATTCTTTCTTGGTCTCGTGGTCGACAAAAACTAGCTCGGCGTCAACCCCGCTGACCATATCTTCGTTGTCACTGGAGCTGCGCAAGTCCCAGTTTCCCTTTTCCAAGTCGTTGGCAAATATAAGAAGAAAATCACCAAAAGTGTCAGCAATCTTATACTTGATGTCGAAATCGCGTCCGAACAAAATCACCTGTCCCCATTTGGCTGCGGGGATGGCCGACGAATCAGAGGCGCCTGGTGATAAATCTATCCCAATGAAGTTTCCCGTTTCGTCATTGATCAATGGTATCCATTGTGAGTGCGCGTATATGGAATGAACCGTATGGGGCGGCACAGAATATTGCTCCGGAAACTCATTCTGATTCACTTTCATTTCAGATGGTCTCATCTTGAACCCCGCAGACGTGCCCAAGTTGTTGTCAGCAAAACTCGAGTTGACTGCATATTTCTGAAGGCCGCTGAACTCGGTATTTTGTAATATCGACTCGTGCACCTTTCTCCAGCTTTCGGTCATGACTGCAATTTCGTCAATCGACAAGAGTCTCAATCCATAGAACAATCCACAGCAACCGTTTTCATTAAACTGCGACTGCCCGTCAGTCAACCGGAGAAACTCCTTGAGACAGGCAGGAAATTCACAGTCCAAGTCCTTCTGGAGCTCGTTGATATCGGCCTCCGTGCAAGGCGCCAGTAACGAATTATTCATATCTTCCGAGTGTTTGTGGAGCCACTTTTTAATGTGTCTCCATGCAAGTCTTACTTCATGGACACCCTCCTCGCTACTTGCCAGATTGGCCGCTTTGGATAATGAAGACGTAGAGTCATTGGCATGAGTAGCCCCTAGAAGTGACGTTTCGATTTCCGGCTGATTCACGCGGTTGAAGGATTTCCGGGAGTCGAAGTCGGAGTATTTGTCCGTTGCACTGAGACAGTAAAAAAACTCTTTCATCTGCAGCGAGAGTGTCATTTTGATGCAATAGTTTTGCGGCTGTTCACCAATATTGTAGCCCCGTTGGGTGAGTCCCAAAGTTGTGAAGGTGTCAAGGCACTATCTTGAGACTGGCACTTGAATGAAGTGTAACTTGCTAGGTTAAACGGCACAGTGGGGAATGTGAACACTGAGCTAAAGGCGATTTTTCTGCACTCTGTTGCACTAGCGTCACTGGAATTACGAGACAAAAACTTGGGTCCCGCGTTACGAAATTTGTTCCCAGGTAGGAAAATCATGAGCATTGAGACGAATGCACACATACCAACCATCGGGGACGCGCAAGCTTTTCTTTTGATCATGCGTGCAAATGGTTAAGAAAAAGAACTAATGCCTAGCGCAAGTGGCTATGAGAACATTTGGAACAGAATCTTTGGGTTTGATTTACATGGAAAGAGACTAGACAGAAGCGTCGTCCTCAGGATATTCGCAGGTGCCCAATGAGAGCCCGCGTTGGTTACGTGAGGTGCGTGACATACTACGAAATGTGTCCCGGGCATGAAGTGCTAATTCTAGTGATCAGTAAAAACACGATAATCCGGGTGTCGATCTGGAAAACAAAAAACTAACAACCGTAGAAAGAAAAAAAAGCAAAGGCTGTACTATGGAAGATGTCACCACGGAAAAACTCCAACGATGACACCAGTAGAGCCCAGAGGGGGCGCAAGGCATTTTCTAGCCGCACAAGTCTTGATGCCAAAACGGCACCAAGGCGCACAGCCGGCACGAGTGCCACGAAAAGTCTGCTGGGTGTTTCATTTTTTGCCATTCGTTGGTAAACAAATAGTTGAGGAAAAAAGAGAAGGGGCACGGGCCAGCTGCGGTATATATACTGGCCGCGCGGGCCGGGTAATGCGTAGGGTTTGGCGGCGATGCTCAGCCGTGTGAGCGATGCAAACCCAGTTATTATGTCTGGTATAGCCCGGGTATTTTGAGCTTGAACAGAATACGAGTGTTTCATGAGAATGAAGTTACCAGGGCCGAGACAAATTGGTATCAGACATTGGCACTAGTCATGAACGAAATTGGTATTGTCTCCAGTACTGCTAATTTCAGAACACATGTCCTGTGTCTGCGACTATTGGGCGCCTAAGTGGATTCCGACGCCAAACTCAGCGATGACTCGAGCAGATGCAGAATGCACCAGTCTTTGCTTTTTAGGATACCGATTTGGGAAGGCAGAATCCTCACGTTGCTAGCGTTTTGCCTGGCCTTGTCTTCAGTATGGTCCGGGATATGCACCAGAATTGGAGAAACATGAAGAACGCCAGCCAGGAATCTGTCGGCCCCGCGGTCGCCAAAAGAAAAGGCTGCTACAGAATCCAACAGTTTTGCTCATAATGCAAGACGCCGCAACCGATACGTTGGGCAATCAAGGACTGCTGTTCCAGAGACAAGGCGGTCACGTGACTGGCGTCAACCGTCTAAAGTCGCAGTCATTCAGAGCGGACCCGCGTATGGCCGTGGGCAAAGAAGACAGCAAAACCCACCATCTTTTGACGCAGAAATAAAAAGCTAGTCACCCAAGCAACAGTGAGGTTTTCGAAAAGTAAGGCTTGATGCCGGGAAGACTTCTGGTTTTCAGGGACACGTGATCAGCGGCCATGGCACAGCTCTGTCAACGACGCTCGGTGTCCCGACCGGTCCATTTGTCCCTCATTATGCCTAATAAGCGCGATGAGCAAGAACCAAACGCAAGCCTGCTACTAAGAAACCAGAATTATTCTACAAGCCTGTGGCATGTCTTCATTCAGCGTGAGACGAATTCTAGTGAACGCGGGCTTCTGGTGAAAACCCATCCACCAGCAAGCCGAGTGCGTAATTGCCGCCGCAGGCTTCTGATGCATATTGCTCCCGCAAACAGCAAAACAACAACACCTCGGGTCACGTGGGTTGCTCTTCTGGGTGCGATCTCACGCCAGGAGTCCGCGGGCGGCCTGCATGCAGCGCTCTGGCAAGCTGGAGTTTCAGCGCCGAAAGCAAAAAAGCTCTTCCTTTTAATTCCAGAAGACCCAGCCTTGCCGCCCTCCCTTGTTTCACAATTCCCCCGGCTCGTGTCAGAAATCCACCCATGACTTCGTTCTGCAGAATCCGGCTCCTCGTGATCTCCACGATCGCCTTCTACTCCGTGTACCTTTTCTCCTACAAGTGCCACCAAAAGACGCTTTTGGAAAGCTTGCTCCACCCTGGTTCCGGCAGCGATTTGGCCCATCCCTTTGCCACGCAGCAGGACCAATCGTGCGATGTCTTGAACACCGGCGCCGACTTCGTGGGGCCATACATGGCCAAGGCCAGCGGCTTCCTTGAGCAGCACGTGCAATCCCACGACTTGTTCAAGAAGTACGACGTGGGCTCCAAGATCGACCACGCCAAGGCCCAGTACTTCGAGCACGTATACCCCCAGGTGCACAGACTCATGCAGTACTTCGAGATTGCCGAGTACCACGCCGCTGTGCACGTGCACAACTTGGTTGGCCAAGTGAAGAAGCACTTCCACGGCATTGTTGTTCCTAAGGCCCATGAGGCCAAGGGCGCAGCCGCTGCCTACGCCGACGACGCTGCGGACAAGCTCAGCAGCCAGTACGAGACCGCCAAGGACGCGGCCTCCAGCAAGTTGGAGACTGCCGCGGACGTGGCGGCCAGCCAGGCGGAGGTTGCGCAATCGGCGGCCAGCAGCCACATGGAGAACGCCAAGGACGCCGCAGCTTCGACATACGAGGACGCCAAGGACGCTGCTGCCACTCACTACGAGCAGGCCAAGGACATTGCCGATGACCTGTACGCGGATGCGAAAGACGCTGCCGGAAACTACTACCAGCAGGTTGTGGACGCTGCTGGAGAGCAAGTGGACAACGCCAAGGATGCCGCCGAGTCCCTTGAGGAGCAGTTTAAGACCCAGCTCGAGGCTGCCAAGGCGCAGGTCAAGTCCAAGTTCGAGTAGGCTGCTAATGCCTTGGGGTATACCATTCGTGTATAGTTAATCAATATTTCCCATTATAACTCATCGTGCATCGCCTCTCTTTCTCCTGTCATCTCTCTCGCTTCGGTAGCCTCTTCGACAAACTCATCTTTCTCGCTTGCTTCAGTGCGGGCCGTCCCTTCCAGCTTATCCTTTCCATCTCCAGATCCCCGCTCTGCAGTATCTTCAAAGGGAACTCCACGGTCAAAGGCATCTTTGCGGGTATCGCCGGACTCGCCATTGGTATGGGGAGCTTCTCTGATAATGTCTTTCGCCATTTCAAGCACATCCTTTCCTGAATCATCCTCTTGAAGAATGTTTTGCTGCTCTTGCTCCGCAAGGTAACGCGACTGTGTCTCCCCTCTTTCAGGTTCCTGTTTGAGATGTATCTGAAGCGGCTCTTTCTTAGGCTGGTCTTTCTCAAGCTGCTCCTTCTCAAGCTGCTCCTTCTCAAGCTGCTCCTTCTCAAGCTGCTCCTTCTCAAGCTGCTCCTTCTCAAGTTGCTGTTGCTTCGCTTTCGCTTCCTGTTTCAATCTGTATGTGAGTCCCTCTCTTTCTTGGTAAGCGACATTGGCCTTGGCCCTCACGAGCTGCAAATACTCAGCATTATCTCTCATGAGAAACGAGATGTGAAAATTGACTTTGCCCAAGTATGCGGCCCAAGACTCCAATCCTCGAGGCACTTTGCTCCCTCTGGCATTGAACTTATAAGCGCTCGCGTCATCAAATATCTGGTCCCGAAATTCGAAAATAGACTCTTTGATTTTGTGGAAGCTCTTCCATGCGGACCAGGTCATGGTGTCGCTGAAGTCTTCCTTTAATTGAAGAACGCCGATGAGCGAAGACAAGCGGGATGAGAAATCCAGAATCACTGTCTCTGCCATGGACTCTAACACGTCAACCGTTTCCTGGGCAGCCTTATTGTATTGCTTCATTACCAGAACGTGAGCCTCGTTGAGATTTTGCTCAACATATTTCATCACCTCTTGGGGCATGGCGTATGCTTCCGCAATTTTATCTCTCATGAGCTGCCTATCGATCTCAGGCTCTTCGATGGTTGTGTTCGTCTCTCTGATGAACTCCGCGTCTTTATGAATGGCGGCAATGAGCTCATTCATCTCCTTGTAACGGAGAAAGTTTTGCTGTTGCAAAGAAGAAAAGTTCGCCGAAATGGCGTCTTTGAGCTCCTCGGTCTTGGATGCTAAGAAGGGGGCGAACTCGACGTCAAGACTGTCCCACACCAACTCCAAAGTTTTATCCACCCTGGACTGCCAGTACAAGATCTCCCGCTCGATTTGCGCCTGGCTCGAGTCGCTGTCTAAAGTCGTAAGCTCTTCTTCCGAGACAGTTTCTGGCAGGTTGAGTGAGAGACCCGATGAGTCGGAGTCAGCAGTGGGTTCAAGCTCATTGGCTTGACGAGTGACAAACATGGTTTGCGTTTGCGTGATCGTTAAAGTCGCTTCGTCCTCATCAGAGTATTCGGAGAAGTCGTCCTCCGTGATACTCTCCGAGGGCGTCTCGGGTGTTTCAGCCGCGATTCCGGGAGCAGCATCGTCAGTGATTTCATCCAAGATATCACTCACCACAGTACTAAAGTCCGCACGACCACGGAAATACGCTCTGTTGAAATCACCCGCTCTCAAGAGATTGTAGGATTCGGAACGGATGAAATCTTTCTTTTGCTGCAAAGACAAGCTGATTTGAGCCAGTTTCTCGAGCAAGAGAGAATACATGGCGCGTGAGGCCACGACGGCTTGGCGCACAAACAGGTATTGGGAAAGCGTCCCTCCAATACTGGAACACACTGGTGCCACATACAGCGTGGTCACATGGTGTGCCCCACACTTCGCGTAGAACAACGCTTGCAAAGCATGGCGTCTTATACAACCGCACAAGAAGTCAACGGACGTCTCCAACATGTACTTATACCGCGCACCGTAAAAGAGGGCTGAAGGGTAGATTCTCTTTCGGTAATACAGATATGACTGGGCAGCTACATAGCGAGCGTATGGGCCCACAATCCGCGATGTTGCCCCATACGCTGAGCCCGCGGCCGAAGATGCCGCGGTATAGACTCTCTCGGCAAAATACGAGATCTGGTGTTCCTCGTCAAACGAGTGCAAGGACTCTTTGACGGGATGCCAATTCGCCGATACTGCGTTCGAAACGTGCAATTTTTTGTCCAACCAAAGCACATGTGGCTGCACGTACGTGAACCACACGGGATACACGACCAGCTGCAATGGGGGGCAAGTGTGGCGTGAAATGACATTGGACAGATAGGAGCTGGAAACACACCCATAGAATACCAAGTACAAAAGATACGGCCAGAGCACCCAGTACACGGCACGTGACGTTTGGTGCCTGACGAGACGGACGAGCTTCATACTTGACAGATCCGGTTCACTATGGGATGTACTTTAGTCTAATTTGAATGGCGTGGAGAGCTTTTATTGTGGTTGAACTATCTCCAGTGAGCAGCGCCAGCGTATTTATGGGTTCAAGCAGCGAGAGTATCGATGTGGAGGATCTGCATATAGGCATGGTCGAGCTGACTGCGCTGCGGTTCTTGATGACAGGCCTTTAGTGGCTGCGAATGGTGTGCTTCGTTGTGTGCATCTCACTCAAACCTACTGAAATAACATCGTGCTTTTTAGTCGTTTGAGTAGATGCAGAGACAAAAGTCTATCTTACAGCTGCAACAGAACATTCCTGGTGGTCGTCAATATCGCTGAAAACCCCGAAGATCTACACGTGTCTCCCAGACTCTGGGGGAACCCCGAGCTCTGAGAGCGGAAGGGCAATAATGACGTAGAATTAAATCAATTTGAGAAGTATGGAGTATGACAGATAGATGGTCGTCTATCTTCGCCCTTCCCTCCCTTCGTTCCAATCGTGCTCGAGAAATCATTAAATATAGTTGAGATGTGGCGGAGCTGGCTTTCTTGTTCGCAGCTTCGAAAGAATTGGTGCAGACTCGCCTATTACTAGAGTGCATTGATCGGAGCCCATTTTAAAGTATTAGTCCTGATTCAAACTAGGCAAACCGGTTCAGCAAATGCAATGTAATAACAAGAACGTGCTCATCTTTTCAATCCAAATCTTTGAATGGAGACGCGTCCTCTGGTTCGATGCAGCTCTGTTTAGATGCCATGCATACATAATAGTGGGGGCGAGTGATGTCTGGTATATCCATATACCGGTTAGATATTTCTTCGATCAACAGAAATGTACAGAGTAGCCGAAAAGAGAATCAGCATAAGGGGAAGCCACCGTCCTCCGCCCAAACTTCATCACTATGCCCCAGTTAGATCGAGTCACGTGACGTGCTAGATTGGCCAATCTACTACATGGGAGCGGGATCACACCACGACGTATTCCTGGCGCACATACACTGCGCTGAGTCAAAATCCTGAATAAGCCGCTCGGCATATCTCACAAAAACCTTCGATTTCGATACATGTTTCCTGAATTTCTGCATGGGGCATCTCTGCCTCTGGCCGTCCTATGATCCACATAAGACAACACAACAAAATACAATACCCAAAACCCAAAACCCAATATTACAACCCATGCAAACTTCAGTGTTTATTTTTTCTTCTTGAGTCGTGTTACCCCAGTGTCGTCAGAGACAGTCTCGATTCATAGCTCAGCCCGTAATTTCGGCACCTCAGCCGATGCGCGGTCGGTGTGCATCTTCTCGCACCAGCTCTAGCCAATCTCATCCCTCGTACTTTTCTTCACGATGACCTCCAATTCTACGCAGCTTGCGACGGTTGGGCTCGCCGGGTTTTTCGGAGGCTATTTGCTTTGCCGATGGCTAAAACAGACTGAGCCAGTGAAGAGAAGGCCGCTGCCACGGGCCCAGCCACAAGCCCGGGACTCACGTGACTCGCTCACCACCGGTTCCAGCACGGAGTCTTCAACCGAGTCTGGTTCCGAATCAGCCTCCGAGTCCGACTCTGAGGACGACATCGAAATCGACTCGACGCCACTCAACGAGATTCCGGGCGAAGTCCGGATGACCTTGGTGGTGCGTCAGGACTTGAAGATGGGAAAGGGCAAGGCCGCAGCTCAGTGTTCGCATGCCACGTTGGCCCTCTACAAGAAGATGGCCACGCCCTCGTCCCAGGCATACAATCCGGAGATGTTGCACAGATGGGAGTACGGCAACGGGCAGGCAAAGATCACGTTGCAGGTGCCCAATATGGAGGAGATGGACGTGTTGTTTGCACAGGCAATATCGCTAGGTGTCAATGCATACACGGTGCACGACGCAGGCAGAACACAAATTGCGGCTGGAAGTGCCACAGTTCTTGGCTTGGGCCCGGCGCCGAAGGCCGTGCTTGACCAGATCACAGGCGGCTTGAAGTTGTACTAGGGCACTTGTGCGCAGCATGCAAGCATGGATCCGCCTCCCCGGATGTATAGATTTCCCGAAAATAAAAGTTCTACCTACCGAGAACCTTCACCTTCTCCCACAGCTGTTGCTGAGAGCCGTGTGACCCTCGCCTGCGCAACACAGTATCCCCAACATTGCTTCTCTTCAAACGAGCCCAGCTCTGTTTAGTGAAGTTTGCCTCTGATGCCGTCTCGCACGCTCAAGGGGTTCACCGCAGAGCTTGCTCGTCTTTTCTTGGACATCCTGTGATGTCCCAGTATGCTGTCGTCGACGTCGAGCAACACGTCGTCATTGTGGTCGTCGTCTTCGCTGTCGATTCCATCGATAACGGAATCCACGTCGTCGTAGAAGTCGTCGACATCATCAAGGCCCAACAGCGACTGGCGGTGGCGGCGCGCACGCGAGACCAGCGCACGGTGGCCGTTCTTGAGCCGTTCTAGCGCATCGATGCGCGACCAGATCTCGCCCTCGGTTCGCTGCGGAAGCAAGATGGATAGTTCTGCAAAGGACAACTCCTTGCGCCGCCGGTTGATCAACAACTCGTCCTCTTCCATCGACCATGGGATCTTGAACACAGGCTGCAGAGCCGTGGGCGTCGAGCGGCCAGGGGTGGTCAGTTCGGGCATGGCCTGCTTTCTTGGTGGATCTGCGCTCTTCTCCTTTTCGTGCCGGCGCTCCCTGTCTTTCTCCGACAAGCGGCGATCGCCATGCACGATCAGCATCGACAGCCGGCGCAAGTAGGCCTGAGAGGGCCCGACAATGGAGCCGTTTCGTATGCTGGAAAGCGTCGACGCGAGGTGCGGGAGCCCCAGGGGCCCGGACACCGAGGACGGGCCGTGCCCGGAAGGCCCGCTGATGCTGCTGCCGCCGAACAACACGGGCAAGTGTGCGAGCGAGTTGCTCTGGTGGTGCGGGATGTCCATAGACTTCGACGGGAGGCTCAGCACGGAGTGCCGCAGCTGGGAGGAGACGGAGTTTCGGTCGTCGCGCACGATCTGGATGATGGAGTTGTTGTGCACGAAGGCAAGGTTCTGGTCCACGGCCGAGTGGCGCGGTGTCATGTTCTGCGAGCTGGGCACCGGGTGCGGCTTGTTGTGTGGCAAGTTCAGCGTCGGGTCCACGGAGATGTCGGTGAAGTAGCCGCCGCTGCTGCCTGCCGCGGCGCTGTGTGCCTGGGGGTCCAACGCCACGTCCAGTTTCGGCAGGTTCTCGAACGTCTGTGGGTGCGACGTGGTGTTGATGGGGCCCTGCGGCGAGCCGGCTCCGGAGGCGGGCGTGCCCGTGTGCGAGAGCGCGTTCAAGCCGGCCAAGGCCGTGGACACGGTGTCGTAGCCGGTGAACGTGGTGTTGGACAACGGCGAGTACACGGACCCGATGCCCGTGGAGAGCTCCGAGATGCGGCGCTTCACGCCGCCCTTCTTCTCGGGCTCCGACAGCATGCTGGGCCGGCGCGAGTTTGCGGACGTGTCGCTGGGCGTGCTGGTGGGCGCCCCCGGCGTGGACATGCCCGGGAGTGCCGCGGCGGACTTCGGCGGGTTCTTCAAGTTGCCGGACTTCAACCGCCGCCAGCGGAACTGGCACGCGTTGGGCGTTCTGTTGGTGAAGTGCAGCGCGATCTCCTTCCAGCCGAGCTTCTGGGTGTCCTTCAAGTGCATTAGGAGAATGTCGTCCAGCGGGTCCCAGGACGTGGGCGTGCGGGAGAAATTCTTGCTGCCCGAGGCGGCGTCGGTGTCGGTGGCATCGGTGGACATAGCAGAGGCGCTTTTAAGAGGGGGCGCAAGCGGTTTGGTGCGTGGGGGTTTTGTGTGGTTGAACCAAAAGGCCCGTGCTTGCGATGGTGTGCCTGTGGAGATGATCATCTCGACGTCCAGTTCCGTGGTGGGCCTCCGCGCACGTGACCGCCGCTGGGTGGGTTCACGCGGACGAAGGCGCGCACGGCTGGCCAGAAACCTGGGCTCGGCGGCTAATCCAGGGTCAGACCGGTGCGGGTGTATGGGGCTGCCAGTGCTTTTGTGCTGTTGTTCGTGTTGAATTTTTTGGTGTTGGGTTTCTTAGTGTTGGTTTTGTGTGTGTTATTTTTGTGTGTGTTAGTTTTGTGTGTGTTAGTTTTGTGTGTTATTTTGTGTGTTATTTTGTGTGTTATTTTGTTTGCCCTAGCTTTGTTTGTGCTAGGCCTTCTTTATTTCTCCTTGCCTGTAGTTAGTTTGGCTCTCAGTTGAAAGCTAGTGTATTGCTGTTTCGAATGTTCCGTGGGGCAGACTTGACTAGAATTTTGGGTTCCCCTGTTGTGTCCCGCGTGTCCTCTGCCTACTGGTCCCTGAAACTAAAGAGTCAATAACTCTGTTCCACGCTGCTGTAATTTTAGGTGCTGCATTTACTCATTACCCATACCAACAATACCCATACCAGCATTACCCACACCAGCATTACCCATACTAACAGTACCCATAGAGTGGGCTTGTCCAGCCGTATAATCTAACTATTATCAGAGCCGTCCAACAAACCACGTGGGCTTTTTTCTATCGAGCCCGCAAACGTATTCCATGGCGGGTTCTCTTCGTCCTTGCTAATTGTAGTACGAAATTCGCGCCCAGACAGGGCCCATGTAGCCATGCCGCGCCACCAGCTCTGGTACTCTATGCATATATGTCTCGTATTATTCCACGGGCAGAAAGCCGCAGTCACCACCAACAGCAGAATCAGTACATGTATGCGTGCGGCTTTTTACACCTATCCACGCATATGCTCCGTCTTCTTTGGCAGTCCCGTAGTACCTAGCATTGCAAGCCACGTTCTATGCCTAGTTCAAGCCCGTGGCCCTGCAGTGTTGGTGTTGTGCTAAGCACAGCTCTATATCAGCTCCAACCATCACTCGGATGTGCCCACCTTCTCCGCCCAGATCTTCTCGGCCTCGACAATCGTGTTGTTGTTCGCTCTCATTTTGTTCATGGTCTCCACGTACTCGTCGTACTCGTCACTGTCAAACACAATGCCGCCACCCGCCTGCAAATACGCAATGCCGTCCTTGTACACCATGGTTCTCAACGCAATGCACGTGTCCATGGTCTTGCCGTCGTAGCCCCAGTGGCCCACGGCTCCTGCGTACACGCCTCTCTTCTCCTTCTCCAACTCGCCAATGATCTCCATGGCCTTGACCTTCGGGGCCCCGCTGACTGTGCCCGCGGGAAAGATCGAGCGGAAAGCATCAAATCTGGTCTTGTCGGCTCTCAAGGTTCCGCTGACCTCGGAGACTAAGTGCATCACGTGCGAGAACCGCTGGATGGTCAAGAGCCGGTCCACCAGATTGCTCTCGGGCGTGCAGACTCTGTTGACGTCATTCCGCGCCAAGTCCACCAACATGATGTGCTCGGCGCGGTCTTTCAAGCTCGAGCGCAAGATTTGTGCGTTGGCCTCGTCCTCCTCGTTGGTCTTGCCCCGTGTAATGGTTCCGGCAATTGGGTGCGTGACAATCTTGCCGTTCTGGTCGCTCTGCACCAACAACTCCGGAGACGCCCCGATGATCTGGAAGTCCACCAAGTCGATGTAAAACAAGTATGGCGAAGGGTTCACGGTTCTCAAGTGGCGGTAGATGTTGAAGGGGTGCAAAGACGTGGGTCTGGCCACGCGCTGCGAGGGCACGGCCTGGATCACGTCGCCTAGCTTGATATGCTTCTTCAACGTGGTCACGTGGTTCTCGTAGCCCTCCTGGCCGATGTTGGACGTGAACGTCTGGTTGGGCTTGATAGGTGGCTGTGCGGGGTTCAACTCGCCCCAGGCCCTGGGCTCCCTGAGCTTGGCCTCGACCTCTTCGATCTCACGTGCGGCCTTCGCGTAGACAACATCCATGTCTTTGGAATCGCTGTCAATATGCAAGTTGTTGATGATCTGGAATCTCTGGAACACATGGTCGTAGGCGATTATTAGGTCGCACATCATCAACACGGCCTCGGGCACTTGCAATGTGTCTTTCAACGGACGGCGCGTCTTGGGCTCAAAGTACTTGATGCAGTCGTAAGAGATGTATCCCACGGCACCTCCACTGAGCTTGGGCAAACCAGGAAGCTGTGCCTGGTGGTGCTTGGCCATTTCGGCGTCCAAGATTCCGATAGGGTCCACTCCGTTGTGTTCTGGCAGGTAGATGTCCGCGTTGTCGCCTGTCTTGATGATTTTGCGGGGCTTGTACCCGATAAACGAGTATCTGTCTACGGAGTCTCCGTTGATTGACGACTCGAAAAGAAAGGTTTCCGTGCGGTCGCTGCGGTTCAAGTCAGCAAGCTTCAAGTACGCCAGGTGCACCGTCAAGTCCTGCGTTTCCATTTACTTGTAGATGGGATACATATTGGGCCTGGGGCAGGCCTGGGCATCGGCGGCCACTATGGACTTCAAGTCTTCAAGAGAAGGCTGGGGTCTGGACTGCAAGAGTTAGTGGGCGCTTTTCAAGATAGCAGGGGCCGGCAAAACCACGCCTGGTCTACGGAGAGTACATACGAACATTGATCAGTAGTTCAGATCGTTGGAATCGGGTCACTAAAGTAGCTCTCGTGAGTCACCAGTTGCAAAATTCGTGGCGGATTTTTTTCCAGGGCCCGGGCCTTGCGCGCACTCTGCAGGTTGGCCCTGGCCGCGGGGGCCAATCTTAGTAATGGCCGTTCAGGTACGAATCGTCAGACAAAGGCCTCGGGGGCATTTTCCTGTACTTCGCTGTGATCTGGCGTTAGCCCAACAAGAGCTGGCTCAGGACAGCATCGACGTGAAGAATCCTCGTGGCAATTTGCTCGCTGCCTACCATCACTCTGCGCTCGCGGCCCACCAACATATCGACCTCGATTCCCAATTCCTCACAGTAGGCGCGCACAGTCTGGTACTCAGAATAGGGCCACAGACTTTCGTCAACAATTTTCCCCTTGGTGCCGGGCTCGTCTTCGCCTACTTCCAGGCCCATATCGATGTCCTTGAAAACATGCGTGATGACACACTTCATCTCGGAGAATCTCGCGGGGTCTTGCTCCACTGACTTGAGCACCCAATACTTTCGCTGGCGGGCTGCCAAATAACTGCCACCTATTGCGCACGCCATTAGTTTTTCGGTGTGTTCTTCAAGAGTGGCTCTGCTCATCGCCCCATGTAGACCGTAGCCCAATGCTTTCAAATGGGAGAATCTGCGGGCATCCTTGAAAAGATGTGCGTTGGCTGTTTGGGTGAAGTGCACGTGCTCTAGAATCTGTAGCTGGTTTAGATACGATCTCATCGACTGGGTAGCATCCACCACATTGACCAACCCCGTGCGTAATCCGAGAGAGACGTTGGCTGCAGTTGGGTCCATACTCACGGTGTCCATTCCCAAGAAGTTGCAAGCCACAAGGTATGCAGAAATAGGAATGTGGCCATTTACATCTCGACCATACGGGAGTTGGAAGTAAGAGGCGGCGGTGAAGTCTGGGAGCAACATGTTCTCGTGTCTGATCAAGACCTCATCTCGTATCTGCGAATCGGGGCTTTCCGCGTCAATCAACTCCTTGGAATCGTAGAAAACTGGGATCTTGTTTTTGTCCGTATACTCCGACGCCAAACGGCCGGCGAGGATTTCGGCCTCGGATCTCATGAACCTCGTCTTTTCCAATATTTCCTCGTCTTTGGTCAACATAACGTGTGTTTTGATTGTGTCTGAATCTGTAGCAGAGAACATCTTGTAGACATCCCGCTGGTGGGCATTATGGTTTGTGCTCACCGCATAGTTTCTGTTCCTAGCTTCAAAATGTCTTTTTAGGACGTTGTAGATGAAGTTGAGATTGTAGTGGTCCTCGGAGTCTAGCTGTTCCTCTGTGTGCGGTTCCTTTGTCTCTTTATGATGGAAAAGCTTGAGCTTCCCAAAAATGCTGGGCTCAAGTTTGCCTGTGAGGCTCTTTTCCAACATGCGTGGGTCCAAGGTCTTGAATTGCGAGTCCTGAAGAGCATCAAACGAGATTGTTGCTGACTCCGAAAGATTCTTCATTGGATCGTCCAAATAAGAGTTGTATTCGAATGTGATGGTCATGCAAGTCTGAGTTCCACCTTCAGGACCTTTTTTTGCGCTGTCCATGAAATCACCGACGGCAAAGTAATCCTTTTGGGCTGTATGCCTGGGTTTCCTGAAGAACACATCCTGGGTGGCCTCGGAAGGAAGAAGGCTAGATTTCTCAATGCCCTGCAGATTTCTTGTATTGTCCAAGAACGCATTGCATTCTGACCACTTGGCATACGTAGCCGATGATGGGCTGAGACGCGACGCTAGGTCTGCAACGTGAATATTAATGAGGAAGCGTCGGGAATTGATCTCTTCCATGGAAACAGCCAAGTTCGCATGGAGCCCAGGGACAATGTATGCCTTAGTGTCGTGGAAAAACAGTCTCGATTTCCGGAGATGCGGGAAGTTGTCAGCAAAACTATTCTTCTTGGCGTCCACTGATGCTGAATGCTGGAGTCCGCCTGTGTCCAAGTCTTTTGCGGAGGATGCAATGAGGACGTGTGTCTTCACCTTCCCCAAAAGACCAGCCGACAAAAGCGGGTCTGTGAGCGGGTTTTGTGGGTTGTCGTAGAGCCCGATTTTTCTGAGGATAGCCACGAGTGATTCGCGTGATGGAAGATGGGGGCCCATCAAAGGCGCCAGCGAGAGCTTGGCCAAGATCTGGGAGTGTGGGTATACCACGGCATGCATCATGGCCCTCAACGCCAGGCTGTAGCGGCGGCCGTCCCAGATTCCGAACTGGAGCACCAAGTCGTCGAATTTTGGCGGTGTCCTGAGAAGCGACTCAACGAATCCACTGAAGTCTCGCAACTGCCCCTCGCTAGACTGCAAGAAGGACAGCAAGGCGTCGAAAACAGGCACCGGGACCGCATATAGAACCGGGGGCGGGGTGATACTGTTGGAGCAGTGTGCTAGCGAGAGGTTTGTGATGCGTTCCGAGGGCATGCATCCAGGAACCATCCATCGGGTGGGGTCGCTGCACATCTGCAAGTACATGGCCATGAGAAAGGCCGATTGGTGGAAATAACTGGGCAAGTGCACGGGGTCTAGAGCGTGCGTGAGTCTGGCAAGCTGCAGAAAACAGACGGGAGTGGCTCTCTCGACACTGGCGAGGTTCGAGTAGGATATTTGCAACGGACGTGCCACCACACGCCGCGTCTCGGCCACCACGGCGATGAACTGGTGGATGATCTGCACCAACTTTGCTCGCGGGCCGAACGAGGCATTGAAGCGGTTGGCAAGGATATGGTGGGGGGACATCGAGCCGCCGTCTAGTACGCGGTGCATGGCAAACGTGATGTCTTGGGGGTGCACTTTGACAAGCTCGTTATGGAGCGTGAGCACGATCATGCGGTTGTGATATGCGTTGAAGCGGGCGTACGGTTCTCGTAGCACGGCGCCAAAATGGATCTCGCCTTTATGGATGAATTCGATGAACGAGCCGGTCTGGGCCGTGCTGGTGAGGTTGGCCGTGCAGATCTCCAGCCACAGTTTCACCGACTCGTATGTTATCTGGAGCACCGAGTCTAGGATGGATGAGTCGGTGATCTCCACCTCCGGATAGAATTTGGTGGGGTCTAGAAACACGCGCCTGGGCCCGGGGTACGCGGAAAAAGGCCTCTTGTCGTTGCCACTGGCCGTGTCACGGAGTTGGACCGGGGCTTCGTTTTCACTATCTCCGGTGCTGGGTGCAAAGAACTGCGTGATGCGGCGGACGGACCGGATCGCTGGGATCCTTGCCCTGTCCAGCTGGGACAGTGCCATGCTCCTGCGGGGGTACCGTCGCAAGATCCGAAGCATGTATATATAGGATTGGAGAGGGAGTGTGGGGCAGGTTTTGCCATGGACCAGTACGGACAGTCATGCTCATTGAAGAATTTCGCTGCGCGATGAAAAGTGCGGGCAGCCAGAGACTGGGCCACTTCTCGAGCGAGAGAAATACTCCACCCATTCCAGGCGCAATTTCGAGCCGGGGTTTCAGGCTTTTTCTGTTCTGCTGCTTCCAATCTAGTTCCTCAGAAAAGCATGAAGTGCTCTGTTCGTCTTTGTTCCCCCATCTCTCGGTCCGGTCCTCAGTACTACTTCTTCGCACTAATCGGTGCCCACGGCCAAATTAGACACGGAAATTGAGCCTCCAGACCAACATGTCGGACCACCAAAGTTTCGCTCTTGATACTGGCGATTCTCTATGTACTACCAAGTATAATCAGCTCACACCATAGGGTTTGATGGAGTAGGACACACTAATCTTCCCTCACACCCGAGAGCAAGAGTACCATGATCAATGTCATCAAATATACTCAGCCCACACCATAGATTTTGTGGGACACGCTGATCTTCCCTCGCACCCGAGAGCAAGAGGACCATGATCAGTATGTACCAAGTATAATCAATGCAGCGGACTCGCTCTGGTACCCCCAACAAAGCTTGAGATGGTGTTGGTGGCTGGTTGTGAGAGACCGCAGTCTTGGGAAGGCGTTCAGCTCAACAAGGCGCCATGAAGACGAGATTGTATCGCGGCAGTCTGAATGTCGCTTCTTCCGCTAGGCAGGTACCGGCCCTTCAGGAGTAGCACACCAGCTTTGGAGCCACACGTTGAGGCGTGGTGGCTTGTGTATGGCGAAGTTGCCGCGGCAGCAGCGTCGCGGGTTTTCCGGGCCACGGGTTTTGGCATCGCCCTGGGTCTCGTGGTCTGCCGCTCCAACAGCCTCCGGTTCGGGTATCTTCAGAAACCATCGTAGCACTATGCGGCCGAGCCCAGACGCCGCCGAAACACCTGGCCACTCCCAACACTTCCTTCGTCCCTCCGGCTTCCTCAAAACAAACGCGCCAGCCGCCTGTGTACGCCGTCCGTATGCCCCTCGCCACCACTGATCCACGCACAAGCGGGAGCAACGCCGGGCACAACATCGGGAAGCCCCGGCTCGGCCCCGACCCAAAGCGCTACCACAGGCTCCATCGGCCGCAGTGGCCCCGCCTCTCCGCAAGCACGGGCTCTGAGCTGAGCTCCCACCACCGTCCTGGAGCGCTCTGTTTCCGGCATGCTCTGCTCCCGCCACCACGCGCACCTAAGCCCACCGCTGCACAATGACCGCGTTTTTGAGCTGGGCCAGGCTCACGGTGTGCGCGGCCGAGTCCTCGATGGGCTTGACCGGGAACGTGTGCGACAAGATGAACGGCCGCAGCACGTCGGTGTGCTCGTGGCCCCGCACAAACAGGTACACCGCCGAGACCGGCGCCAGGCCGGGGAAACGGTGCGCCACGCGCTTGCCGTTGGCGAAGCGGATCTGCACAAGCAGGTCGCCGTCGCCCGCCGGCGCGTGGGGACCCGCGGCGGCGGCGGGCTTGCTCTGGGCCGGCGCCGGCACCTCGTCGCCGGGCACCGGCGACCCCAAGCGCTGGCCCAGGCCCTGGAAGCCGGCGAGCTTGCGCTTGGGCGGCACGTAGTCCTCGTCCACCTTGCGCACCACCGACACGTCGACGTCCTGGCCGAACTCTACGTCCAAAAGCGACACGGGCACGCGGCCCTGCTTCAACTCGTTCAAGAGCAGCACGTGTTCCGGGTCGTCGTAGCCGCGCAAAGGGCCGTCGCCCACGGTGAAGCCCTGGCGCCAGAAGGTGATTTCGCGGTTGACCTTGAGCGGGCGCGCCGGCGCATGGGAGGCTTCCACGGCCTGCAGCGGCTGCGTAGAGTCGCCGAGCCGGAACCCCGTGCCGCCGAAGTGCTGTTCGGGCACGGCCGGCGCCTGCGCAGACGGCCGGTCGTCGTCCTCGTTCATCTGCTCGCTGGCCCGCTGGAAGATGCGCTCGACGAGCGACGGCTGCGCGGCGTTGCTGCTGTGTTTGTGCTTATGTTTGTCCGGGTTTTCCACCTGCAACGCGGACTTCTCGCCGCCCGTGAAGAAGTTGGTGTCGGTGCGGTCGTCGTGGTCCGGCGCGTCGCCAAGATCACGCAACGTGCGGACGCCGCCCGCGCGCGGCGGCCTGTTTGTGGCGGCGCCGGCTCGCGGCGCAGGGGCGGCGGGGCCGCTGGTGCTGTAAAAATCCTCGATGGCCAAGGTGAGATCTTGGTCGTTGCGGGCCAAGTACTGCTGGGCCAAGTTGGCCGATGCGCCGGTCACGGCGACAAACGATTCGACTAGGTGCAGGATATCTGACATGGTGGGGGCGCGTAGCAGGACACGGGGCTGGTGGCGGTGTCCGATAAAGAAGAGGTGGTAAGGTCTGGAAGCGCTGGTGCTGGGCCGCTGTGCCTGAGGAGGCTCGCGGCAGGTGTTATGTGCAGGCCGCCTTGCGCGGCCGCCTCCTGCCAGTGGTGCTGCTGGGGTGGATCTGGCGGGTGCGGGTCTGGAATTCATGCTTGGGTCTGGTAATTCATGCTTGGGGTGCCGTGGTCTTTTGGCAGATTGTTGGGTGTTTTTTTTTCCTTGGGTACTGCGTTGCGTTCGTTTATCAGGTCGGCTTCGGTTGCCTGTGTGTGAGTTTTCTTCTGGTGGTTTCTTGGGGGACTGTTTGGTTATTTTTCTGTTTTTTTGGCACTCTTGTAATTATTCGCTTGTTCTTTTGTCGTTCTTCTGAACACCTCGCTGATTCGTTTTGTCTTTATTTTTTTACACTATTCTTTTTAATATCATTTTTTTGTCATTGTTCCTTTTGTCAATGTTTTTTTTATCATTGTTTTTGTAATTCTTCTTTTTGTCATTGTTTTTGTTGTTATTCTTTTTGTCATTGTTTTTGTCACTATTCTTTTTGTTATTGTTTCTGGGACTCTTGCCCGGATTATTTCTCTCGCTCTTCCTCCAGAGTTCTCCACTGAATTATTTGATGGTTTCATTCTCCCTCGCATTATTCCTCTTGTTGTGGCTCACATTCCTTCTCTGAAGATTTATTTGATGAATTCCCCTATCATTCCCTGATTCTTTCTCCGATTCTTCGTCTAATTAATCTTTTGCTGCTCTCGTTATTTCTTCCATTATTCCCCTCCTTATTCCTCCCAAGCTTTCTCTCACACACTCTTATTATTCCTCTCTCTCTTTTTTCATTCTTCCTCTAATTAATTTTCTAACCCCTCCTCGTATTATTCCTCAGGTAATTTATTTGATGATTTGATGCTTCCTCTATTCTTCCTCTAATTTATATTTTAGTTCATAGTCGAATTATTCCTCTGGTAATTTATCCGATAATTTCTGTAATCCTTCATCTGAAGCTTTCTCTCATTTTTGCTTTAGGGTTCTTCCTCTAATTCTTCCTCTCATTCTTCCTCTAATTCTTTCTCTCATTATTTCTGTTATATCTTACTTTATTAGCTCTCTTCTTATTTCTCTTTTGTTCTCTTTTTTTCTCTTTTGTTCTCTTTTGCTCTCTTATGTTCTCTTTTGTTTTTGTTGCTCTTTGTTTTTATTTGTTGCATTCCAATCATTGTTTGGTTTATATCTCTCATTTCTCCTCTGTTTAATTCCCTCGTACTATCTCAAATTGTTTTGCGACTTCTTATTCTACTTATTTCACTGGTAATTTTTTGTTGATTTCTCTAATTCTTCCCTTAATTGGTTGGATATGTTGGTCTGATCTGCTGACCTAAATTGTTAATATATTCCGTTGGTTTAATTTGTTGATTAAATGTGTTGATGTATTGCTGATATTGACTTGATGTGTTGTACTAATGTATTTTACTGATGAGTTATGTATAGATGAATGGTACCAATGCCAAGTTGTATCAACAGACGTTGCTTGTGGACTGAATTACAAATATCTCCATTTCCTTGAATTTCTTAGTATGTGCTGTGACCGATGCTGTTGTGACCTGTATTGCTCGTATACTGCTATTCCTGTGATTATCATCGCTCGTCTTCTAGTGTCTGAAGGTCATTAGCGCCATTGACGCCACTAACGCCACTAACGCCATGAAAGCTCTTGGCGTATTACTATCCTTCTTCCTTTTGCAATTTTCATGGCTTGTAAAGTGAATACTGTTCGTATGCCCTTGTCTGTCTATTGTATGGTGGCTCCATGGCTGAATTCCTGATGGTTTGGTCGTTCCGGCCCTTGGCCAAACAATGGACAGCAGCAAAAAAACTATTCGCTCCCCTCTGGTTCATCCCCTAATTCTTTTCCCGTGATTCCTACTGCTTCTTTCTTACCTCCTTCCGGTCTCACTTCATAAATCTTTCCTTCCCTTCAACCTTCCTCACGATTTTCCAATCTAATACGTTACTCCATTCTGGCAGGCCCGCAGTCGAACCCAGCCCCTACAATCGAATTGATAACAAAATGCTATACTATAAACCGATGTTGAAATCCCAAATATTTAAACCCCAATGAAAGCTAAATGAAAAATGAAAAAACTTGTGCAAAATAAGTCATGATCTTCATGTCATGATAATCACATTAATGTTGAATAAATGTGACAAGATACAGGCAAGCAAATAAGAACTGAATCGAATTCAACTGCAGATCCCATGTGATGTGGGGCGTTGATTTGGCGTAAAATCAAACTTAGTGCTTGGCTCTGAACTCCTTGGCAGCGTCAACCATGTTGGTCAACGAGGCCTTGGTCTCCTCCCAGCCTCTGGTCTTCAAACCGCAGTCTGGGTTGACCCAGAACTTGTCGGCTGGGTAAACCTTCAAGATCTCAGCGATTCTCGAGACAAACTCCTCTCTGGATGGGATTCTTGGGGAGTGGATGTCGAACAAACCCAAACCAATGTGGTTAGGGTAGTCAGAGAACTCTCTGATGTAGTTAGCATCGTCCTTCTTGGAGAACTCGATGGAAACAACGTCGGCGTCCAAGGCCTTGATGTGGTTAGGGTCCAAGTCCGAGTAGCAGAAGTGCGAGTGGATCTGAGTGGAGTTCTCGACACCGGAGGTGGCGACTCTGAAAGACTGGGCGGCCCAGTTCAAGTAGTCGGATCTCTCCTGGCCAGCTCTCAAAGGCAAGCCCTCTCTGATGGCAGGCTCGTCGACCTGGATGACCGTAATACCAGCGGCCTCCAAGTCCTGGACCTCGTCTCTCAAGGCCAAACCCAATTGCAAGGACTGGACCTTCTGCGAGACGTCGTCTCTTGGGAACGACCATCTGAGACACGTGACGGGGCCGGTCAACATACCCTTGACAGGCAACTTGGTCAAGGACTGCGCGTAGACGGACTCCTTGACGGACATGGCCTTTGGTCTGGACACGTCACCGACAATGATAGGGGGTCTCACGTATCTGGAACCGTAAGACTGCACCCAGCCGTTGGTGGTGAAGACGTAACCGTCCAACTGCTCGCCGAAGTACTGCACCATGTCGTTTCTTTCAGGCTCACCGTGGACCAAGACGTCCAAGCCAACCTCCTCCTGGAATCTGATGACGGTCTCGATCTCCTTCTCGATGAACTTCTCGTACTCCTCCTTGGTGATGGTGCCCTTGGTGAACTTGTTTCTGTTGATTCTGATGTCCTTGGTCTGGGGGAACGAGCCAATGGTGGTGGTGGGGAACAAAGGCAAGTTGTACTTCTCCTTCTGCTCGGCCAATCTGTCGGAGAAGGCCACCTTTCTGGTGGACAAGGCCTCGTTGATGGTGGCCATTCTCTCCTGGACCTTGGGGTTGGTGGTGATGGACGACTCCTGTCTGGCCTTGATGGACTTGGCGTTGGCGGCGTACAACTCGGACACGTCCTCGCCGGACACGTCCTTGGCAATGGCCACGACGGCGTCCAACTTCTGGGTGGCGAACTGGAACCAGTCGGCAATGACTGGGTCCAACTTGGACTCGTTGGCCAAGTCCACGGGCGTGTGCAACAAGGACGAGGACGTGGCGACCACGACTCTGTCCTTGCCCAACTTCGCGATGGCCTTGTTCACGAGCTGCGAGGCCTTGGTGTAGTCGGTCTTCCAGATGTTTCTGCCGTCAACAACACCGACGGAGAGCGTCTGGTTGTCGCCGATGATGGCCAACACCTCGTCGAATTGGGCAGGGGCCTTGGTGAAGTCGAAGTGGAAGCCGCTGACGGGCAAGGCCTTGATGGCGGCCAAGTTGGGTCTGACGTCGCCGAAGTAGGTGGTCAAGGTGATGGCGGGCAAGCCCTCGCCAACCAACTGCTCGAAGGTGGCCTGGTACAAGGCCTGCACGTTCTGGGGCAAGTCCAAGACCAAGATGGGCTCGTCGATCTGCACGGTCTTGGCGCCGGCCTTGTACAACTCGGCAAGCAAGGACTTGTACACGGGCAAGAACTTGTCCAACAACGAGATGGGGTCCAAGTCCAACGAGTCCTTGTCGGCCTTACCCAAGTAGAGGTAGGAGATTGGACCGAGCACCACGGGTCTGGTCTCGACGCCCTGGGCCTTGGCCTCCAAGTACTCGGCCACAGGCTTGAGGCCGGCGGCGCTGTTCAACTTGAACTCCGTGGAGTTGGAGAACGTGGGTCTGACGTAGTGGTAGTTGGAGTCGAACCACTTGACCATCTCCAAGGCCGTCACGTCGACGGCCGCCTCGGAGTCGGTGGCCTTTCTCTGCAAGCCTCTGCCCATGGCGAACAACACGTCGATGGGCTCCAAGCCAAACTTGGTGTATCTGTCGGGGATGACGTTGAACAAGAGCGACAAGTCCAACACCTGGTCGTAGAAGGAAAAGTCGTTGGACGCAATCACATCGACCCCAGCGTCCTGCTGCAACTTCCAGTTGTGGGCTCTGATCTCCTTACCCTTGGCCAACAAGTCCTCGACAGAGACCTTCTTGGACCAGTAGGCCTCGGTGACTTTCTTCAACTCTCTCTGAGCGCCGATACGGGGGAAACCTAAAACGGAAGATTGGACCATGGTGTGTTTTTTCCGGGTTTGGATGGGGGATTCCAAGAAAAAAGGATGGGGGGTAAGGCAGGAGGGAGCGTACTTGCGCCGACTTATATAGGCGGCCGGCGGAGGTGAAAAATGAGCCGACGGGGCGGCGGCCGGGCGCCTGTGTGCAGGACACGTTTAAAGCGATAGGGCTGGTTCCGGCCCCGCCACGGTTTTCTGGCCAGCCGCCGCTGGCACGTGACCAGTCGCCGCTGTGCTGCCCGTAGCCTAATTTCGGCATTGACCAGGCTGCTCAATGGCGGCGCCCGCCCGTCTGTTTCCAGCGGGGCCATGTGAAAATGTGCGGCATCCACGCGCACGTGATCGCTCAACATTGGGCGATAGCACGTGGAATGACTCGGACCGCCGCTACCGGGAACGCGCAGGCGCGATCTGGCTCGGGAGGCACGGGTGCACAGGCCCGGCACTGGCGTACTGGACAGGGCAGGAAGGAGGCAAGAAGAGACACAAGTTCAGAGAAAAAAAAATACAAAAGCACAGAAAATACGAAAGGGCCGGGAAGCCCCGGCCGCCGGGCCAGCGGAGAGTGCAGGGCCTCGTCGGCGTAGGGCCAGGCGGGCTGGTGGAATGAGTCACCGCCGGGCACCCGTACATCCCAGATCTTGCGCGTGGTTGGGCCTCGCGGCCCGCGCGCCTGCTATACGACGAAAAACCCAGGCCCCGCGCGCCCAAGTGACAGAGCTGTGGAAGGCCGGAGCTTCTATTTTCCAGGCCCGGCCAGCCTAGTATCCTGGCGAGTGCTGGTACTTTGAAAAGTGCTAGTACTTTGAAGAGTGTAAGTATTCTGGCGAGTCTAATATTTGAAGGGTGCTGGTATTTTAAAGAGTGCTATTATTCTGGCGAGTCTAATATTTAAAGAGTGCTGGTATTTTAAAGAGTGCAGGTATTTAGTGAGTGCTAGTATTCTGGCGAGTCTAATATTCAAAGAGTGCTGGTATTTTAAAGAGTGCTAGTATTCTGTAGATCAGTAATTTTAAAGAGTGCTGGTATTTTAAAGAGTGCAGGTATTTAGTGAGTGCTAGTATTCTGGCGAGTCTAATATTCAAAGAGTGCTGGTATTTTAAAGAGTGCTAGTATTCTGGCGAGTCTAATATTTAAAGAGTGCTGGTATTTTAAAGAGTGCTAGTATTCTGGTGAGTCTCTCGCACCATGCGCAGCGCTGCCCAGACTCGAATCTCCACCCAAAAAAATAAGGCCAGTCCGTGTTGCTTGTTTTGGTTTGCGCTCGAAACACACTGCTTTTGAAAACACAGCCGGCGCCATGGATCATGGAACGCAATTCCACGTGGGGCTTGCCCGGGCACTGTGCTCATTTCTCCGCTCCAGCTACAGGCTTTATGAGAGTCGCCCTGGTGCGGCTCTGTTTGCAGTGCGAATGCTCCGGCACCAGCTGGACAATGGGCGTGGCTCTGGCTCCGCACCCAGCCTGGCGATCGGGCCGTTCATTGTTTCTCGGGCTGTCTTTGCTTTTCGATTATGCTTTTCGATTATGCTTTTCGATTGTGTTTTTTGATTGTGCCTTCGATTGTGCTTTTTGATTATGCTTTTTGACCAGGCTTTTCGATTATGCTTTTCTTGTGTCCTGCTGTGTTTGGCTTTTCTTGTTTCCTGTTTGCTCTTCTGTTCCACACTGTGTTTGCTCTTCTGTTTCCCACTAATTTTGCTCTTCTGTTTCCCATTGTTCTTGCTCTCCTGTTTCCCATTGTTCTTGCTCTCCTGTTTCCTGCTGTGTTTATGCGTTTCTCGTGCTTGCTCTGGTTCTTGCTTTTCTGTTCTGATCCCAGCTCTTGGTTCACTTCTGGCTTCCCTGCTCTTCTATGCTACCTTCCTCAATCCTAGTATTCGGTGCTTGATTCATGCTCCCTTACGCGTCGCTTCCCTACTCTCATTATTCAAATCTGAATGCCTTTGGGCGTACTTCGTGTTTTCTTGTTCATCCCTTGTTTTGCTGAACCTACCCTCTTCTGTCGGTCTCCAAAGACCTCGCGTCCCTTTTCTGATGATCTGTTCAAAGACGCCGTCCACACGCCTTCCGTTCCGGGCCATTCCCCACTCGGGCACCGGCTCAGACACCTACAGCGCCGCGTACGCCCGGTTGCTACTTCTGCGTCCAGTTTCTGTATTGTATCTAGGAGTGCTCAAGTCTATATCTGGAATCTGGCCACTGGCCGGCACCGCATGGAAGGTGATTAAATGCGTGTCCCCGTAGTCTGCGCTTGGCGCATACCCCGCGGGCAAGGTCTGTGGTGGGGCCTCAATCGAGCTTACTGTCGCCAGCAGCCTTTCTCTTCTGCACCAAGTCGGCAATCACGCCGCCCGAGTGCAAGAGCCCGTAGCGGCGGAACTGCTTGATGGCCTCGTTGATCTGCTCCGCGTCCTTGCCGGCGGTGAACTCCTCAAAAAACTCGCCCTGCTTCACGAAATAGTCGTAGCTCAACACGAACTTGTCGTCGGACATGTCGCTGAGCTTGTTGGCGGGGTTGACGGGCGTGTTGAAGCCCTCGTGGTCGCCCAAAAACACGCCCAAGTGCTTGAGCTTGGTGAACACGCTCGCCTGGTGAGCCGGCACCATGCCGCCAAACTCCTTGATTTTATACTCGCGGTACTCGTCCTTGTACTCGTCGGCATTGGCGCGCTTGGAGCCGGTCCAGCCCAAGGCGATCAAGGTTTCCTTGGTGACCACGGGCTTCTTCTGCGGGCCCAAGCGGAGCAAGCGGGTCGGGTTGAACATGCCCGACCACACGAGGAAAAACACCACAAGCACCTTCACGATGTGGAAGATGAAGAAGGCGCATTGCGCGCCTATGTTCACGGGCTCCTGCAAGTCCTTGATGAACACGTCCGCGATGTGGTTGAAGTTGTACTTCTGCGCGGCCCACGAGAGCAAGTACGACATCTGGTTGGTCAAGCAGATGCCAGGCGTGGGCGACACGAAGTCGGGCAAGTCCGTGTAGAGCCACACCACCAACGCGGAGATGAACATGTAGTACCCGAAGTGGTTGAAGCGCCACACCGGGAGCACGAGCTGGCCGGGCCAGCACTGCTTGGCCACCACGTCGTCAAGCGCCACGCGCTTCTGGTATTTTTCTTGGCCGGTCTCGTACGAGAAAAGCAACGCGCCGTCTTCCGTCAAGTAGCCTGGCGCGGTCAGCACCACAAACAGCACGGGCTGGGGGTCGTAGAACAAGTTGGGGCGCAAAGAAATGGGCAAGGTCTGGAACACCTTGAACAAGTCGCGGAACACGGTTTCCGACGTGATCTGCAAGCAGTAGTCCTTCTCCATGTCGTCGTTGAAACGCAAGTAGATTTCCAACGAGGACTCAGGCAGGATCTCTTTGGGCGACATGATCGAGGCTCTTTTTTTTTTGAATGAGTATTAGGGGGCCCAGCGAATCAAGGTCACGTGTCGGCGGCGCTTTTTTGTTGACGAAGTAGCGATCTGGGCGGATGCTGTGCTAGTCAGAGGCTGGTTTCGTGAGGCAAAAAAGAGAGGTATGCTTGCTCGCGTTCTCTGCTATATGGCTGATAGCGGGCGGGGCTTGGGTGCGGGCTCCCAGTCGACGAGAGCTGGCCCCGCATTGCCACTGCCATGTGGCGGGGGAGCGAAAAAAGATAGGGCACTGACGTAATGGAAGCCCACGGGGCAGAAATGGAGGAAGCGAAAAAAAAAAAAGAGCGGGGCTCTTCAGGCGGGTTCCTGGACTGCTGGTGGTGGTTTGTGGGCATGTGTTGTCATTTTTGATGCCTTTCCAATTTTCTGCATGTTTATTGGTTTCCCCAATTGGGGCGGGAGCGCCACTCTGAAGGCGCCTCGCACTTTTGGAGTGGGGCCGTCCAATTCTTGGAATATCGCAATGGGCAACATGCCTTGAGCTCGACTGAGCAAGCAGCACCAGATTTGTATTTTCACTCTGGAAAAATTCTTTCATCCAGTCCAGAGTGCCTTGACACGGCCCGTCCACTTTTGATTCCCGGGGACACCTGCTTATTGTCGGGTCCATAGTGATAATGTCCTCCCGCATCACGTGTCGCTTGACATGCGGCAAGACAGCGATGGGCGCACAGCATGCAGGCGCGTGCCGTGAGAGGAAACCGAGCGCCCGAATGTCTTCGAGAATGCAGGCACTGAGCTCGTCTGGCTACACAGCACAGGCGGAAAATGCACCATTTTTGGGGGAATCAATTTGCGGCACAAGTGCTGTTGGCGACCCTGTTCCTGGAGTGGGATCTGCGGTCCACCTTTACTTTTCCTGCATATCTGCACATCTGACATGGTCTTGCCGTATGAGGAAACTCGTATACTAAAAACTACGCGGGCCCTGTAATCCATGAATTTGTGAAAAACAAACGTGGTCGCCTCAGCCTGAGAAGCTTTAATCAAGAAACGAGAGGGCGCTGGAGTGGACGATCCCTAGTATCAGCTAAATACCGATGGTCCCCGGAAGCGCATAGCTGTATATATGCAGCTCTATATTGAGCTCGCGTGCCGAAGCCCTGATGAAATGTTAGTTCTGTTTCCAGGGCGTTTTCTTTTCTTCTATGTGGCCGGATATATAGAACGAATATGAACACCCAGGCTATTTTGGGAGGAAAATTATGTTAAGGGGGACGTATACATTTGTCTTAATGGAGTCTGCTTAAAAGAGATCATGTAGTGTAACCTCTTGAATTGCTTCGACAAACTACTCTTGATGATTTCGCCGCACAATTATATTGGATTTTTGAGCTCTTGGTAGGCTTGAAATTACAGAACCAGCTCAGCGTGCTTTCGAATAAATTTTCTCTGCAGAACTTTGAGCTTCGATGCTTGGTTGATGTATTGACCACATGGTGAAGCCATGCTAGTACTGGCCAAGGCTCAGCTCGAAAGTATTTAGACCCTGCTAAAAGCTTACTGATTACATTTCAGCAGATTTTAGTTGACCGATATGAAGAATACAAATTTTGCACCTGAAATTTGACCGCACCTCCTTGCCAGATGATGAATCTAAAATTCTCAACTCAATTGTGAGCAGTTTCACCAACGGTCTTACAGCAAAAAGGCTGCTTGAGTACAATGCTAGATGGAGCACTTCTTATGAAAATTCTGAGTCCTGGAGAAAACAAATACACATAAAAAAATCCCCACAGAAAAGAAAGCAAAGAGCACATAACCCAATGCCCTTCGATCAACTTTGTAGCACACCCACAGAAAGAAACTTTTCCTATCAAAACCCAGCCAGCTTTTTACGGAAGAAATTTAGGAGAAACATATCAGAAAACATGAGCGAGTTTTTCCAACCATGAGAATGAAACACCCAGGGTTGAGCACACCTGACTCTCTATGCGACCTATTGACTTCAAACGCCTCATACAGCTGAGATTACACAATACCGGATCTTCATGGCTTTTGTGGAGTATATGATCCCGCTTTAATATAATATGTAGGAAATTTCGACACCATCAAAATCAAGGACGGTGCAGAAAAAATATTCTCAAAGGATTTGTATCTACCTAGCTCACCTGCAACATCTACACGGAACACTGTTCGGACGAACGGATGTATCAGCAAGACCAACTACCTCTGTGTCCAGGCCCATAAGAAAATAAATTCACAGGAATCTGGCCCCCTGAAAAAGATGAGCCTACCGGGGGCTTTCTGTGTATATGGCAGTGATATAACGTAAGGAATCCACACAAAGATCTCTGGTATCATCTCTCCTGAAGAAGATACTAGTCATTTGATCAGGTCAGTTTTTGTTCTGAAAAAACTAATCATCTTTACAATCAAGCCGCACGTATACACAATTATATGAATGTTATCATTCGTGGCTTTATGTTTACCATGTCAAATTCAAGAAGCGCCGTGAGCAAAGTGACATGATGGTCGTCCGTCAAAAAACAGTCATAGAGTTGCCAGACCTAGAATCGGGTTTCTCGTCATTGAAAGAAGACAAGCTGAATGGAATTCCTTAAAGCTCCTAGAATGTGTCATCTCAGAACCATTTCGAGACATCCTTTGTTTGTCTTTCTATCGGGCAGACTGAGAGGACAAACCGTAAACAGGATCGTAATCGAGGGCAGGGGCCACTCTAAACTTTGCAAGCTTACTTTACAAAGACTATAGGCCCATTGGATTAGAAGTGATGTATCAATAAGAATGTACGGGATTTCACCCTCTAGCCAAGTGGAATCAGACGCGGCAAGGGCGGATTCAAGCCTTGTTGCAAATGCGCACGCGGAAATGAGTTGCGAAAAAAGAAATGGGAAAAAACGTACAGCTCGACCTGCGCAATGTCACTCAGGGCTCACATGCCAGGAGGAACGGAGAATATCCGTAACTTCACGTAAATGCACGTCAGTGTCATTCTAGTCTACTCGAAAATGTCAAACATCAAACACAACCAATAACATGATGTACAATACAATGGCAAGGAGTCTTCTTGTGATACAGACGAGAAAAAATGAGAGAAGATGCGAAGGTGTAACAAGTCTTGTGTTCGTGAACAAGGCGTTCGTCAAACTTTCACGGACAAGGCGCCCGTCAGGCACTTACGACAGGGCTTGAGTAGCAGCATCCCCAAAAAGGACAAACTTTGACCTCTTATTATTCTCGTCAAGCTTCCCGACGACTCTAACATTCTTCATATTTCCTGAAACAAAAATTGCGGCTTTTCAGAATTTAGGAGTATGAATCAATCAGTTTATGTGTGTTGTTCCCGCGTGCTTTTCGGGATTTGAATCTGCCAATTGTCCGCACGTGTTTGCATATGATATGCGTATTGTTTTTGAGTAAACTAACCGCGCACGCCGTTAGAGTTATGTTAGATGTCTCGAGTCCGAGTCGTCCGAAATCATGGCTCACTCTCATAAGAGGATCGGCTCACAGGAATGACGGAAACCCCTGAAGAAACGCACCCTGATAATTGCTGTTCACCTTTTCTCTATGTCACAGACGTATCGAATCGAGACGTTCTGCTCCTTCCATAGACGGGCTGATGATTGACTAATGGTCAGAGCGCTCATAATGTCAAAGCATGTACAGATACTGAGTCAAAGCCATAATGATGTCAGGTTTCTGAATCAGGATTCTAAGGCGCAATCAGGCCAGGTCACGCTTCGATTTCCGCCACACCACGCGGATGCCGTGCCCAAAAGGGTGTGAGACCGTCCCGTAAGTGGCTGCGTACAGGGCGACATTTTTTGCTGCGTGATTTTTTCACGTAAAGAGATTAGACCGGTATACAGAAGAATGCACGGAGAATTAATGTTCGTACCAGGACATATTTTAGAAAGTATCTTCAAACAAGGTCAAATGATGATGATCATGTGACTGTTAACCTTTGGAAGGTGTATGTGGATTGAAAAGAATTACCAGGAAAGTGTCTCCACAAGATCAAAATAGTTTGGGAAATGCAAAGCAGAATCACAACCTCTTCAACGTGACTGACCCTCGGTGGACCAAGTGCCATTTTGATTGGTTGATGCATCCCCATCCTAGACTTTGTTTTAAAAACATCTCAAGTTTATCTTAAGTTGATGCATTCGAGAGTTCGTTGATGCCTTGTAAGTCCTCTTATGGCAAACTGCGAAAACAGCCAGCCAGTTTTGTAAACAAAATGGTATACATGAATAGGAGAAAAGCCAACGCCTTGGATGTGCCCAGTGCTCTCGCGTGAAATGCGCCATTTCTGAATCGGCGCAGGTCTAGTATTGTCGACGTAACTGCGCCCGCTCGCACATCATACACCTGCACCTATTCCCAATGCTGCAAGCTGCATGTCACTCAATTTAGGTGCCCATGCAGAGCTGCATATATATGGCTGCCACCATGCTATGTATACTGGCGGTTTCCTCTCTTAGTCCGTGCCTTTTCTCCCGCTCCTTGTCGCTCTTTCACTTTCCTTTCCTTCGCTGCTCTGTTTTCTTTCACTTTCACTAAAGTGCACAGAATGTTGTTGAAATCGCTCCTTGCTGTGGCGTCGTCGCTCATCGCCTCGGCCGCTGCCACCGACCTCCCAGCCATCGAAATTTCTGGAAACAAGTTTTACTACTCGAATAATGGCAGTCAGTTCTTAATGAGAGGTGTGGCCTACCAGCAGGACACGGACTCGACCTCCACCACCTCTTTTGTGGATCCTTTGACCGACTACGACTCTTGTCTGAGAGATATTCCTTATTTGCAAGAGTTGCAGACTAACGTGATCCGGGTATATGCCTTGAATGTCTCTCAAGACCACACTGATTGCATGGAGGCTTTGGCTGCCGCCAACATCTATGTCATTGCCGACTTGTCCGAGCCCGATCTCTCCATTGACAGAGACGATCCTACCTGGACTCTCGAGTTATTGGACAGATACACCTCGGTCGTGGACGCTTTCCACAACTACACCAACATTTTGGGTTTCTTTGCAGGTAACGAGGTGACCAACAACGCCTCCAACACCGACGCTTCTGCTTATGTGAAGGCTGCTGTGAGAGACACCAAGGCATACATCCTGGAGATGGGCTACAAATCCATCCCCGTGGGCTACTCTTCCAATGACGACTCCGACATCAGACTCGACTTGGCCGAATACTTTGCATGTGGCGACGAGTCTGACAGAGCGGATTTCTTTGGTATCAACATGTACGAGTGGTGCGGTGACTCCACCTACGAGACTTCGGGTTACGAGACTATCACCGAGGAATACAAGAACTTGGGCGTTCCTATTTTCTTTTCCGAATACGGCTGCAACGAGGTGTCGCCAAGAAACTTCACCGAGGTCCAGGCCATCTACTCCGACGAGATGACCGACGTCTGGTCCGGTGGTATAGTGTACATGTACTACGAGGAGACCAACAACTACGGCTTGGTGACCATCGACAACAGCGAGGTCTCCACTTTGGATGACTTCAACAATTTGAAGAGCCAGATTGCGCTGATCGACCCCTCCTACACCACCATTGGATCCGTGACCACTTCCGCCACCGTCACCACGTGCCCCACTGTTGGTGGCTACTGGTCTGCCACAACCGTCTTGCCACCTACACCCGACTCCGAGGTCTGTGACTGCATGGTCGCATCCTTATCTTGTGTGGGTGACTCCACGCTCGACTCTGATGGAATCGCCGAGCTCTTCAGCTACGTGTGCGGAGAAGTCGACTGCTCTGGCGTCACTGGAAACGGTACCACCGGAATCTACGGCTCGTACTCCGCTTGTAAAGCAAAGGCCCAGTTGGACTTCGTGCTCAACTTGTACTACAGTGCCAACGGCGAGAGCTCCACTGCCTGTGACTTTTCAGGATCGGCTTCCCTCCAGACCGCCTCCACGGCCTCCTCGTGTACTGCTATTCTTTCTTCTGCCGGGGAATACGGTACGGGCACGGTTTCTGGTACGGTCAGAACCACCACCGACTCCGCCTCCACCACCACTGTTTCTGGCTCTGACTCTGGATCTACTTCTGATTCTTCTTCTTCCAGCACTTCTTCCAGCAGCACCTCGGGCTCGGCCAGTGCTCATATTGCCTTTTCCCCATTGAACGCTGCCATGATCGCCGCGTCGTTCATGGCTGTTGGTCTTGGTTTGGTGTTTGTTTAATCAACTATGTCAAGAATAAGATTTTAATAAAAGTCCAGTTCCGGAAAGAGTTCATTTTGTTGTTGGGTTCCAGTATCGACGTGTATTAATACATGTTAGTTTTCCGCATAACGACAGAAACCAGAATGGTGGGTATAACGTAGGGGTGGTCCGTGGCATCAGGCATCATTGTCCATTACCATCTTGCGGATCTCCCAGAAGTACTCGAAATCGAAATTGCTTCGACTGCTGAGGTGGTAGCTTTCACTGGGACCAAACCAATTATGCGTTTTTCTTCTAATCTTCATTTCTTCTTTTTCAAATTTGGCCATGTGTTTCAGGCTGAGTACAAACTCCTCGCCAGCAGTGCTATTGCTCACCGCTGTACTTCCAGTGGAGTTGTTCAGAAAGGTTCTTTGGGTAAATGCGCTTACTCCACGATTATATAGCGTGGGTTTTGATTGAACTGGTTCTGTAGTTGCATATTGTGGAATGTCATTTGGTGTGAGGTCCGGCAAATCATCAAAAACATTTTCCTGTTGCTCGTCAATAGCATCTTTGTTCACCCATCTTAGATTTTCCGGGTCATAAACCATATTCCCTTTGACGGTGTCCTTCTGATGCCGAAACTGGTCGACCGTTATCAAACTGGGCTGCTTTTGCTTTTTGTGAGAAGGACCATCGTCCTTATTTTCATCAAAGCGCAAGAGATCATGTTCGTTTCCTTCCCAGAGTTTTGAGTTCAGATTAAATTTCATTTGCTTGTTTCCAGTGAGCGAAGGGACAGCAGACCTATGGTTTAGGTATTTCACAATACCCACCCCTTTCCTGGGCGGTTTATCGTGATGTTTTGTGCCAGAGGACTTGGTTGGACTTGAACGTAGCTGGAACTGTTTTTCCGAAATCTCCATGTACTTTTCTAGGAGCTGCTTTTTGCGTAGCTCCATGTTATAATCCAACAAGTCTTCTCGTGATTCAGAAGGAGGCTGCTGGTTTCTTTTTATGTGGAACGAGGGCATTCTGTCTAACTTCCTGATGATCTTGTTGTTGTGGTTGAAAAGCGGGTGTTCAGAGGGCTTCGCCCGCAACGTACCAGCAAGATCCATAGAGGACTTGAACTTGGTGGGCTTCGATGCTTTGAGTGATCTTGGAAACACGGGCATGCTTGCCTTCCGCAGGAGGTCACCACTAGGAGCCACTGGCTTCGTGTGAAAGTGCAGGAGCTTATCCTGGCAGATCATGGAAGGAAGGACATCGGCAAAGCCGTCTTCGAAAGTCTCGAAGTCGTCTTTCGTGTACTCATAGTCGATGGTGGCATCGTTTTGCAAATGGTCTTTTTGCTGCCGCAGAGGCAGATGGCCATATAAACGTAGGTCTTTGAGCTTGAGAGTGTTCACCTCGTCTGCGGCCGGATCTAGGAGCTCATTGTTGTTGTGCTCGGTATGGCTGTTTGTGTAGCGGCGGTACAACTCGTCATCCTCGGCCCGTGCCTGCTCCTCCATTTGCTGTTTCCGCTGGATTAGGACTTCCCGCGCCCTGGTGGGGCCAGCGGTTTTCTTTGATACCCGCGTTCCGTCGCTGTTGTAAATGCCGCTTTCTTCCTTGCCGAATATATCGTCGATTTCCTCGAAATCCTCGTCGTTGATTTCGGTGATGTCCGTGTCCGTGTCCTCGCTGAACTCACTCAACGACCGACGTCTAGTCGGCGAAGTCAAAGAGGCGGTTCCGGGCAGCAATCTGAACTCGGTTCTCAAAACCGCGGGCGGATGGGTTCGGATGGCATCCCTGATGTCCTCGTCAAATGAGAGATCCTCGTCATCTTTTTCTACGAACCTAGCTAGGCCTCTGATTGGATCGCGATATCCTTTGGCGGATTCACGTGGTATACTCTCACTGACGTTGGGGCTGATTCCGCGCGCAGTGGCTGGCATTTTGAGCGTGGCAAACTCGTCGAGGGGCGAAAGTATGTCGCTGTCTGCTTCATCAAGCTGCGCCAAAAAACTGCCGTTTTCTTCACCAAACCCACCGCCAAAGTTGTCGTTGTGATCGTTCCATTTTTGCAAGCGGGCCATTTTGCCACTGATCAGGGCGACTCGATCGGGTGGCATGAATAGTTTGCCTTGTTGCTGGATGATTTTGGTTGAACGATCTGACGCTTGTTTTCCTGTAGTGTTTCGCACGACGTGTATGTTGATGTGTGGAGAAAGTGGTTGCGGGTGTTTTGGTGATGTCAGCAGGCGCTGTCGCGTTCTTCAGTACAGGCACTTCTTTGCACAAGCAGTGAGACCCGATTTCATTGCAAGCGCGCTTCTCGTGAGATGCGCTTTTCCAAAGCAGATTCAACAAAAAAAAAACATCACAGGGCATTCGGTGAAATTTTCACTTGTGACAACCGCCAGCAAAAAAGTAATGCCTTCAGCCAGATTCGAACTGACGATCTCCTCATTACTAGTGAGGTGCCTTACCAACTTGGCCATAAAGGCTTGGATGCAAGCAAAAATGGGGGAACAATACACAGCCTTAAGTAAACCTGTCATGTCATGTACGTATTTAGTTTTGATAGTTCTGCCGACCACTATTTTTCTCTTACTTGAAATGTTTTGGGCTGCAAATTATTGTGATGTTGCAATCTATAATAGGTTTCTTCTACCAAAAAAAAAAAAAAAAATCTTCTCTATAGTTTTTGTTAGTGGTGGGGGTTTACATCCCTCCAATTACACTCTATAATATGAGGTTTCTTTGAAAAAAGAATAGAGCTTGCGCCTAAAATGACATTTTTTGGTTTTGTTAGATCTTTCCAAGGCACATATATTTCTAAAAATTCCCTGTCTGTCGAAATCATTGCCGGTCGCCTAGACTTTATTAAAATTTTTACACCTCAACAATCAGCTACCGTACAGCTGCGTCATACAATGTTATGTTTCTTAACGGTTAAGGTACTTGATGCCTTGAAAAGCTGCTCTCTTTTTGATGTCTTTCGTTAAATAGCCTTTCCCCCACTGGTTACAATAGGGGAAAACATCAACCATGATCAAAGACTAGTGTGATTAGTGTTCGAATCATACACTAGTGAGTCTTCGAATCAGTGAAAGGAAAATTGTTTGTGAACACAGCTTGGGAGCTCAAATAAAATCCAGAAAGATCAAAGTTATATGTGACAGACTTGGGTCCACTAAGACTATCTAAAGAAATTTTTGAGTGTACAACAGAGCTAGAATGGTACTATCTGTGTCAAAGCGTAAAGCAATGATCTGCTAGTCCCCTTGCTGAATTATTCAGAGTAATTCCAAATCTGCCATCAAGCAAACATGGTCAGACGGACACGTCCCGACTGCTGGCTGTGAGAGCCGCGACTTTCCTATTTCAGACTTTTTGGGAACACGGAGCAAAGCCAAGACTTTTATGTTGCTGACTTTGGCAAATTCTTCCAAGGCATCTATTCCAGGGCTTTGGCTTATTTTGTTATCCTGTAAAACAAAGATGTAGTCTATAAAGCTCCAGATCTCGGTCAGGGAGATGCCTCTGTCAGCTAGATCATAGGCGATGGAGTATAGGGAAATCAATTTGTCGTATACTCTTTGGTGTGAATTGATAAGATCATTTCTCGTTTCCATAAAAGCTTCATACGGGACTTTTGAAGCTGCTTTTCCATACTGTTCTTTCAGTGGACACGGTAACTTGGCCGGCGAAAAAACAGGATCAAATTGACGCGAATTGAAGTCTCCGCATATAAAAGTGTAGAACAGGAACCGTGGCTCCGTTTGGAATCTTATGTACTCGGAAAAATTCTCTGTTTTTTTGATAAGAACCAGTGCTTGTTTCATAGGGTCGTTTTGTTTGTGAAGAGACGCAGATAGGTGTGTTGTGCCTATAACAATTCCTTGCTTGGAAGGTTTGGTGTGGCCACGCAAGAACTTTTCTTTAAACCCCAAACATAAAAGAAATATTGCCCTGTTTGATGATTTTGGTGGGACAATTTCATTGATAGCATGCTCGTCATAATTGGAGAAATCATGTCAGATTTCGGTGAACAAGTCATGCTTGAAGCATATACCAATCCCATGATCCTTTGGACCTACGTACACAAACGACAGCTCATATCCAAGCCTAAAGAGTTCTTCTTGCCACCAAGCGTACTCAGAGTCGTTTACTGGCACCTCCTGAAGACAAAGGATATCGGGGTTGTACCGACCAACCTCACATAAAAGCACTCTCTCCCTGAGCCTATGGGGGAAAAACCCGTCCAAGACCCAACTCTTTTTTTTACCTAACGTGTAAAGCACATTATATGTCATTATTGAAACCTGCGGGCCTCGAGAGTACTTAACACCGCTCACTTGGAGCATATGTCGGTATAAATATAGGGAATATAGTCTGTCATCTATATAGGGATCCACGCGGTCATGCGTCCTTTTCGAAGACCACAGTTGCAAAAGCATTCAAAGGTATAAGGAAAGGATCGTCCGCTATGACGTGGTTTCCTATGCTGAAGTTCTCGGTAAGCTGGACAGGATTAGCGACACGTAGTCTACACCTCAGTCCAATCAGAGCCACGTTTGAGAGAATTGCGACAATGTCCAAAAAGATGATATGCTACTACAGGCACCCTGTACTGCTAAGAAAATAGCTGATTCAAAAAAATGATATATCTGGATAGTGTGATATAGAATGGAAGAGATTAGCTCGAGCGTTTCCATGCAGACCGTGTGATTCTTTAAGAGAAGGGATCTTTGCATGCAGTGACGCACGTATGCTTCTTGAGAAATCCGAATGTCGTTTCCGTTAAACAAGACTTTTCGTGAGACAGGATAACAGTACATTTCTGAAATTCACTTGGACATAATTGTTCTGTTCTTGAAGGGAAGGAAAAACTGTCGCTCGTTTTTCAATTGACAATTTGGGGTTCGGCTGACAGATCTACAAAGGCTTTAAAAATCAAATACCCCACCTACTGTTGATAAAACGTTTTCCAAAAGGTTTGAATTACATAATGGAGATTTCATACAAGCTAGATTTGATGAATGAAGGTGTGTCATAGAGGAAGGCCTTCTTCTTCAGACACGCGTCTTTCTTCTCATGAGCTTCTATGAACCTTGTCGTGTTCACCGATATCATCTTGTTTCTAATATCTTCTTCAACAACATGCATGTTCACAGTTCAAATTTGTAAACATCAAGCAAAGAATTTCAGAGAAGCTTGATTTCCCTGGATTCTCAATGTGAAATGTTTTTTTGCTCGAGCCATTTAATTCAAGATTTAATGAAAATATAACATTCACTGAAAATATAACATTCACTGAAAATGAACATTGAGAGGACGTATCGTATGGTTCTCTTGAGAACGGTTATCTGACGTCACATCTTCCCAATAAATTATTTCAAAAATGAATGCCCACTGTCGGAATCGAACCGACGATCGCCTCATTACGAGTGAGGCGCCTTACCACTTGGCCAAGCGGGCTTGTTAATTTTTCCAAGCTAATGAGCCAACACAAAGTATAGTTTATAATGTCTCAGGTTTATAATCTCTTGTTGTTTAGTGGCATATTCGAAAATAATTGGGTTCGCATTATTCCGAACAATATTTAATCCAGGTATCTAAATAGCCAAAGCTCATCCTTTATATTTCCCAATCTCATGGCGTAACAATGCCCTATTCTACAAGATCGAAAAACCGCCAGTGATCACGTCCTCGCATCAAGAAGGTTTTAAGGCCTCATCACAATGAGCTGTTCTTGATGTCTCTATACCTTTCCCTAATATCGTTTTTGCGAATCTACAGCAATTGTGAAACATCTAAATAGTGGTGGCAAGAGCTGAACATTGCCGAACCCACGAATATTCATGAAATACTGGCCCCAGTCATGAATATGACTTGGTTCATGACGACCATTGTCATGGTATACACTCAATAGCTGAAGAGTCTCAGAAAGAGAGCTTCTTAGTTCCCCTTTGACAACCTGAGTTGAAGCAGCTTTTCCTACACATTGATGGCTCCTTAAGTCCGCTACAACCATCGGAGTTGAAGCTACTACTACAGGAGACCTACTTAGGAGCCGATGACGTAATATCCAATACGTAAACAGATACGGGCCATGATGACCGTCCAGGCCGTGACTAACGGAAGAGGACGGGCCGAGCTAAGACACTCGGTATGTATCGGGAGCTCTTTAGAGCATTTTTATAAATTGTTGTATAGTTTTGTTCCTCAAATCAGATGATTATAGCAAAAAATACAATTAAGAATCAAATAAGACATTTAAAGTATCTCTAAAATGTCTAAAAGCACTTGTACATCTTTTTATTTCTTGAGCTAATGACCGCAGATTACCTAAATGAGCAGTTGATTTAAATTTTCCAAGATCATTTGGGAGAGAGATGGAGTTTTTATAAGGATCTTGAGGACACATGCTGGTACCACGGCAATCATACTTGTTTTATGCAAAATTCTAGATATTATTCGATTTTTTTGTTCAGATCATGGCGGTGTGTACCAAATTATTTTTGTCAGATCTTTCGAAAATGATTTTGCCTCCTTTTTTTTGTATCCTCCGATTCAGCTAGTATGAGTATCAGCTAGTATGAAAAATCATACCAGCAAACATACATGCCTTTAGCATGCTATCTATCAGGGTTCAAAAATCAACCTTGTTGTAAGGCTATTCTAGAGATATTTACATCATAATGAACGCCACCATTGTATAGCCATCGTTGCCATTTCAAAGCAATATGCAAAAACAATGCAAATGTTAGGGACTTCACGGGACATAGGCGTTATGTATTACTATTTGATCACTGGTCTCTAGAACTCTACAGGAGTTCTATTCCACCTTTATATACTTTACCCAGAGGTCACGTGGACGGAACCTTTAGAACTCGAAAGAATATTCTATGAGTTGTCTAGAATGATATCTGACGGAACTCACAGTAATGGAAGTGCATATAGCCATATATGCGCTTACAAGGACCATCAGTGTCAAGCTGATACCAGGGACCTTACAGCAAATATCTTATCATTAAAAAAAAACAAAGCTTTCCAGAAATACACTCATACTGCAGTTTTAACAGACAAGATTAATTCACACAGGGATGCATGAATTTTAAAGATGCCGAGAAAAAAAGACCATATTTGACCCATAATGAGACAAGCACGGCACTTTGTTAGACAAAAAGATTTCCGAACACGTTGGAAAACAAGCTGAGGCGTTTCTACTCGAAATTTCAAAGTATATGGAAAACTGGAAGAGTTAATGTCACAAGAAGAAAGAAATAACGTTCCACTCATATCTCACCCAAGAGCTGACGATCCTTTTAAAGCAGATTTACTTTTGTCTTCAAAACGCAGGGTGCTCACTTTTATTCCCCACTTTCGTCATGACATTGAGACCTTGACATAAAGCCTGACTTCATCTCCGACCGTTACCTTTTTGGGGAACTAATCAAAATCAAAATGGGTCGTCACCACGACTTTTAAGATACACTCGATGACGTGGCGAGATGCACGAAGGAAGCTCCCAAATCCTCTCCAATCATCTAAGTTGAAGCAACTCCTGCAGAAAATTTATCCTAGGAATCGATGACGTAATATACAATACTTAAACAGATACGGGACATGTGTCGAAACTTGGCCCGCCCCCTTCCGTTAATCACGACCTGGAAAGTCCTCTCCGCTCATATCTGTTATCATAAAGCCCCTTTGGTGTTGGTCATCAGTTCGTTGACGATTTTCGAAATATTAGCGGATTGGGCAAAAAGAAACCGTTTCCTATAATTGTCGAAGTTTAAAAAAGAAATGGTCCCTAGCAGGATCGAACTGCTGATCTTGGCGTTATTAGCACCACGCCTTAACCAACTGGGCCAAGGGACCCTTTGATGTTTCGTTGTTATGATACGACATGAGCCAGATTATAGATTCTGGGCATCCTGTATAATACGAAGGACGAAGAGTCTAAACATTCCTGATCGGGGTTACCCCTCACCTACTGTATAGAAGGGTTCCGAACTATAAAGGAGCGTGAGGCTGAGACATCCCTGAAGAAGGATAACACTTTTTAGACATCGAGAATACGACAGATAGACTAGGCCTATCCACTAAGGCTGAACTATCTATAAACCGATCTACTCGTAGTTTAAGAGACAGCTCCAGGCTGTTTCATAATAGTTGGTAGCGCCGCTTAGTTACGACCATGGGAGAAACTACAATGAGCGCAAAGACAAATAAAGACACGTCGACCTTGACCTTCAACCCGACAATGTACTTCAGCGACGCAGAACAAGACCGGGCCGCTCAAGAATATTTGAGTAACATGAACCG